TTAATTTCGCGTGGTTCCGGGATGTGGTAACCTTTATATTTATTAAATAAAAGTAAAAAAACTTTGTGTATTGTTTGTAGCCCGTAGTACCTGGATTAGATTTATAGTTTATTTTACATTAACAGTTTTCAATCTGCCTCACAATATTACCTAAAAAAATTCAATTTCACATAGAATGGAAATAAATTAAATTCAACGACCGTGCTGCCAACAGGCGTTATGAATTTTTTGCATACTGGAACGACTAATAGGAGCTCTTTTTTATTATTGACAGGTGACTTTCACGTTTGAACTACTTTTCCAAATCGTTGACTCTCATCCGTCACACGTGATTTAAGCTGTGCTTTTGCGAAAATTGAGAATATTTGTGTGTACACTTACATTTACATGAATTAAGTTTTTTCTTGTGGAAATAATTAACAAACCATGAATATGTAGTTACAACTGCCGCAAATTTTTGGTGTTTCCTTTTTGTTTCATCACTCGTCTTATCGTGTTATTTTAATTATTGAGATTAAATCTAATTACTGGCTGGATTTAATAGCCCTATTAAACTAATGCGAACAAATAAAAGAGAAATTTCAAGTCGTATAAAACTGGTACTCTTATTCATTAGAAATTAATTAGACCGACTAGTGGTCTTTATAATCAGATATGGTACACGTGTTGGCGTACACAATATCGAATAATATCGAGTTCTTACTTTAATTAAGTCATTCTACTATACAATGCATTAAATGGCAATATGAATTTAACCTTGAATGGTGCAGTTGAACTCGTATCCTGTTGCCAAAAATACTGGTGTTTTGTTAAACACCGAAAGTGAGCAGAAAAAATAAGTAATAAAATTATGTAATTTTTTTTGTCATATTAGCACTCGTAAAGATTACTTGAACGCCGTTTTTTTCCGGATCATAAGCAGATTTAAAATAATAATAATAATACTGAAGAAAAATTAGGACAAAGAATCATCTGCTTGTAGAAAAAAATCGTCAATTCGATCAACTCCTTACCTTTGAGCTAGCCAAGAAAGAAAACAGACACATGTGGCATTCGTAAAACTTTGAAAAACCTACGATTTAAAAATAAATTTAAGATTTTTTCCCGTATTTTGGAAAATTAAAATCTTTGCTTTCAGATATCGAATTTTTATATACGCGCTTTTTCGACGAAATCCGACTATTAGTTGTTTGATACAGCAAAATATACGAAAAAGTGATCATTTTTACTCTAAAAGCTCAAAAAAAGTTGATGAGTCTATTTTGTAGTTAATGTCACATACGTGATATCTACTTTAATGATTGAGCTGTAATTTATAACTTCACTGATTATTTCCGCCTTCGAAATTGAATATGTTAAGTTGATTATCAGACGGAAGTCAACAGTAATGAAGATTTAATGAATTTTCACGCTTTGAAGTCCCGTAATTTAATTTATGTTTAGTTGACAAGTGTGACGCCCAGAAGTATGGGCAAATTAACGACCAATTTTTTACCTGTCATCAATTTCTAAAGTAGTATCGCAGAATATTTCTCGTTCTGCAACTGTTGGTGTTAAAATTTTATTTTGTTGACAAAAATTATTAGTAAGGCCAGTCGCTACGTTTTCTGAGTGAAATTTTCGGTCTATTTTCAGAATGTATATCTCCGTTATTAACAGACTTATCGTTTTGAAATTTTAAATATATGTTGTTCATAACTTTCTTTATATAACGGAAGGGCAATTTTGTTAAAAACAATTTTCTTTTAATTTTAGTGAAATTTTTGTATAACGCATTTTTTAAAATCAATATCTCAATTATTAAAGGAAATTTCAGAACACAGTTTTCAACACTGTTTTTAGCTTACAAAACTCTAGAAATCGTACAAGGTATATTGTCGATTTTTTTTGTTAGAAACGATACACAGTAAAAAAAAGCTTGTGTCGTAGAAGTTGCTAACTTTTATTTTTACAATATCTCAGTCCCAACAAACAAATTCAAAAGTAGAGCTCGTACGATTTCTAAAGTTTTGCAAGGTGAAAACAGTGGTGAAAACCCCGTTCCAAAATTTCCAGAAATAACTGAAATATTGATTTTTTAAAATATGCGATGCAAAAATTTCAACAAAATTTAACAAATATAAGACAAGTGGACAAATTACATTTAAAATTTCATAAACTTAATAATGGACATATTACATATTGAAAATATATTGACAGCACCATAAGAGCCAAATGTAGCGACTCCTCTTAAGTACAAACCGCTGTTTCTTGAACTTTTATATTTTTTAAAACAACATTTTTTAATATCTCTCTTCAAATTTTGTCTTTGCTGTTTATGATGGTATAACATGGTGGAAACGGTCAAATTGAAACAGTTAAATCATTTTCTCAATATTACTTGAAGCCTAAAAATCTTCAAAAATTGTAATATATTTTGGGCACATGTCAAATAATTTTTTTTGAAAGAATATTTATTAATACAATAAAAATGGCATCTTTAGAAACGGCACTCTACTTACATTCATACTATAAAAAAAATAGGATAAAAATTGTTTTGACAGAAATTCCCTCACCCCGAAGTACAGTCCAAGAAATCCCACCTCTTTGATAGATTATAAAATTCAATTTTGTGTTTTTTTATGATAATTTTATAAAGTAAAAAAAATATTAATCAACTGATAAAGCGTAAGTAGAATTATAATATTTTCCACATTTTAGATAGGATTTATTTATTCGGTAAAATTTTGAGATGACGTCATCAATTTTTTAAGGTGGTATAAACGGATAAATTTTGATTTCGGGGAGAAAATACTTGCCAAGATAAGACTGATTTTGTCAAATGATATACCCTCTACCTTTCATTTTCTTAGAGAGTAGGTGATTTGTCAATATCAATCTTATCTTAGCAGGTACTAGCCCCACCCACCCACCCTCTTTCTTCTTAGAGGATATGCCATTTGCAAAAATCAGTTTTATCTTAGCAGGTACTAGCCCTCTAAGAAAATAAAGGGCGGGTGGGCGGGGCTAGTACTTGCCAAGATAAGGCTGATTTTGGCAAATGACATACCCTCCAAGAAAATAAAGGGTCGGTGGGTGGGGCTGGTACTTGCCAAAATAAGACTGATTTTGGCAATGACCTACTCCCTAAGAAAACAAAGGGCGGGTGGGCGGGGCTAGTACTTGCTAAGATAAAACTTATATTGCCAAATGGCATACCCTCCAAGAAAATAAAGGGTGGGTGGGCGGAGCCAATACTTGCCAAGATAAGACTGATTTTGTCAAATGATATACCCTCTACCTTTCATTTTCTTAGAGAGTAGGTGATTTGCCAATATCAATCTTATCTTAGCAGTTACTAGCCCCACCCACCCACCCTCTTTCTTCTGAGAGGATATGCCATTTGCAAAAATCAGTTTTATCTTAGCAGGTACTAGCCCTCTAAGAAAATAAAGGGCGGGTGGGCGGGGCTAGGGCTTGCCAAGATAAAGCTGATTTTGGCAAATGACATACCCTCCAAGAAAATAAAGGGTGGGTGGGTGGAGCTAGTACTTGCCAAAATAAGACTGATTTTGGCAATGACCTATTCCCTACGAAAACAAAGGGCGGGTGGGCGGGGCTAGTACTTGCTAAGATAAAACTGATATTGCCAAATGGCATACCCTCCAAGAAAATAAAGGGTGGGCGGGCGGGGCCAATATTTGCCAAAATAAGACTGATTTTGTCAAATGATATACCCTCTACCTTTCATTTTCTTAGAGTAGGTGATTTGCCAATATTAGTCTTATCTTGGCAGGTACTAGCCCCACCCACCCACTCTCTTTTTTGTTAGAGGATGTCATTTGTGAAAATTAGTTTTTATCTTAGCAGCTACTAACCCCGCCCACCCCCCTCTAGTTTCTTAGAGGGATCTCATTTGCCAAAATCAATCTTTCTTAGCAGGTACTAGTCCCGCCCACCTACCCTCTCTTTTCTTACAGAATATGTCCTTTGAGAAAATCAGTCTTATCTTAGCAGGTCCTAGCCCCGCCCACCCACCCTCTCTTTTCTTAGACGATATGTTATTGCCAAAATCAGTTTTATTTTAGTTAACTTTATATGCACAAGGCAGTAATTTTGAACATCTTCTCCAGTTTAGTCGGTTATGCTTCAATTAATTTTTCTTTTGTTGGTTTTGTTTTTGTTTGTAACCTATAAATGTCTTATTAGAAGTTTCTTTTTGGTTTTTATCTTAGCAGCTACTAACCCCGCCCACCCCCCTTTAGTTTCTTAGAGGGATCTCATTTGCCAAAATCAATCTTTCTTAGCAGGTACTAGTCCCGCCCACCCACCCTCTCTTTTCTTACAGAATATGTCCTTTGCGAAAATCAGTCTTATCTTAGCAGGTTCTAGCCCCACCCACCCACCCTCTCTTTTCTTAGAGGATATGTTATTGCCAAAATCAGTTTTATTTTAGCTTACTTATATGCACAAGGCAGTAATTTTGAACATCTTCTTTAGTTTAGTCGGTTATGCTTCAATGGATTTTTCTTTTGTTGGTTTTGTTTTTGTTTGTAACCTATAAATGTCTTATTAGAAGTTTCGTTTTGGTTTGTTTATTAATGAAAAATAAAAGCTTGTTTTATTAATAACAATGCAATTAATGAATACTGGTTGTTACGGTTATCAGCTTAACAAACCTAAATTTTATAAGGTGGATTTCAGTCACCATCGTTACTAAGAAATCAGAAAGTAAGCCGGAGGTATTCACGCATTAGGTGTGTGCAGTTAATGCTCCATTTTCCAGACACCCGGTATATATATATATTTTTTAAAGGTTTTTGTACAATTTTTTTCTGAATTCACTGATGTATTAAGCTGTGGTAAAATTAATTTAATTTTAGCTGTGATGAATTTATTATCAGTTACGTCTACATATGTAGTTAGTTCTGCCAAAATTTTTGTTAACTACATAAGTATTTAAATTTGAAAATTAAATTTCTTTTATACGAAAACAGTAATTCAATACAATATAAGTCTGGAAATATTGAATTACGAATTCCGAAAAACTCTCCAGAAAAAAAGTTGAATGTCGTAGGCATACACAAATGAGCGTTAAAAATTCGACGTATTAAACAATGCTCGAAAAAATAAAACAGCTATGGATTTGGAATTTTTTTCGAACACGCGGTATACCTGACTAGCCAAGACGGAAACCCTTATTTTTTAGTCCGAGTTTTGTGCATTAAATTCTAGTGATTTTTTAAAATTCTTATATTTTTTAAATTTTGGAAAATTTTCATGTTGCATTTTTCGAATTCTTCTAATAAAGACAAAAAATTACACTCTTGATTCGATTTAAAAAACAAGAGTTAAGTCTAATAAGCACACCAAGTACAAAGTTTCAGAAAGTAATTCAAAAGTCAGTCAAATTCATGACATTTTTCTATCTATTTTAGAATGAACGAAATACGTTATTATCCCCACAACACCGAAAAATATCGATACATTCTTGACGAGTTTCAATAGCTACCCTGTCACTGCGTATTGTATTTGAGTTAGTGTTAAGTGCATCTAGTAACAACTTACAAAAATCTGTCAAAATTATAATACGAGACATCTGGAATTCCAAAAAAAAATTAAAAAGGAAGTGGAAAATTTGGTACAAACCAGTACAAATTAATTAACGTAAAAATGTTTATTCGTTGAGTTAATTATTATTCGGCATTTTCTTACATTAACAATGGAACATTTGAATGTAGGCTTGCCAAAAAAAAAGCTGTGATACATTGGTTTGTGTTAGCCAAAACAAATTTGTTTTCAATTAATTCTTTTTTCAATTTTCTAATTTTAGATGTGTAGATGCAACTGTATGTTTGTTTAAAACTATAGTGCTTACATAACACTGCAAGTATTGATAATTTTAACACCGTATAATTACGTACGTTACGATTACAGTGAATAATAAATTACTGTCCCTACTAATCTTCTATCTTTGCGGTATTGCTCAAGGCTGAACTAAATATGTGTATATGTTTTATGCGACTGCTTTATGACCATATTATTCCAATTTCTCAACAGTTTCCTATCTTTTGGCATACACAGAGTTGTCGGTTTTAAAAACTCCTGTCACTCCAGTTACCGTCAAAATTTCCGAATTCTTTCAAGTATAGCTACCAATGTTACCTTTTAGCTTATTCTGTCAATTTAAATTTTCGAAGTCAAATAAATTGTATAAACTTATTTTAAATACTGACAAGAAGAGATTGTTAGCACTTTTCGAAAGTTTCGGGTAAGTTCGTAGGCTCAGGTTACCACTCTGCCCAACAATGAAAATTTTCAATGTGCGAATATTCTGCACTCATATAATCAGTGCACATCATTTTAACTCTGTAGTTAAAAATCTGATTGTGATTAATAATAAATTAAGAACAGTTATTACGTTGATATTCAAAATCTGCCACTTACGATTTTATAGTGGTAGGTTAAAGTACTCAAGGTTAGATAAACACCACTTTGTATTTAAAAAATACAGATATTTGAACAATACAAAAATATATCACAGCGGTCCCTAACATCAACAAATACTTTTGTTAATTCAAATCATAACAAAAATTATCAATTATGAGTCAAAGTAAAAATGTTCACTGAATCATGTGTTCTGATGTTTGATTTTCATTGTTAATTAAATGTGTACTTAAGCTGTTAGCTGTTTTTAAGTTGAATAAAACTGCTACGCAGAAAAATATACATTTATTGTGTCTTCTTTTACTGCTTTTCCACGTGACTTTCCCACAACAGAATGAACCAGCTGGAAAAACGTCCATAAAAACTAGGAAGAGAATTAGTAACTTGTTACACATACACTCTACTTACCATGCAAGAAAAGAAAACAACAACAACAAACGCAAATTAGATTAAAAATACACAAAAATTACACAAACTGCGTAAAAAAAGAAAAACCTGTCATGACGACCGAAAATGCTCAAATATCTTAAATCAGCAATCGTTCAAAGCGATTTTCTGACGTCACTTGTACAGGACCAGTCGCTCCGGTGGGTAAAATCGCACATTTTCAAGCGTAAATAAATAAAAAGGCGTACTGTTCATTACGAAAAGAAAAATAATACGAAGCCACTAAATCTACATGCTCACAAAACGTGGTACTCACCTTGATCGCTCGTAGAATCGTTCGTTCCCGTATTCGTAAAATTATTTTCTAACAATTGTTTCAAATTATCTTTGGTTTCCTCCAGTTCGCCGGCGCTTTTATCGTTTTTAAGCGGCGATTCGGCGAATTCGTGTTCTTCATTCTGACTCACACTAGTTTCATTTTCGACTTTGATAGGCTTTGGAACGTAATCTGACTTCGCTCTTTTAAAATGGGGGTTTGAGATCAAGCTTTTTGACTGCCGTTTCGTACTAGGCTGTGGTATACTCTGAGGGGGTGTAGGAACTCGGGGGGTTGAGTAATGTTGTGGTAACTCTACGTCGGACTCGATCAAGTGATTGAACTGGGCAAGATCCGGATCTTCGTCGTTATCGGCGATGGAATCGGATTTATCGTCTTTTCGGGAAGATGTTTCGCTCTGCAGCAAAATAACAAAATTGATAGAAAACGCGCAAATTTTCAGTTTCGGTTATATGCATGCATGAACTTTAGATTAATGGAGTTCGCCCAGGAGTAAACGTCGGTTTTTGATACTAAACACATAGTTTGTGAGCAATAATGATAAAAAAAAACACACAAAATCAAAATCATTGTGCAGAATTATTTTTATTGATTCTGGCCAACCATTCAAAATTTATAGCGCTTATTTCAAATATCTCCACTTTTTTATAGTCATCAGTTAATAATAAAAATTACGACTCTTAGGTGGAACAAAGTCTGTTTTTTTTTATTTGATATAAACAAGTTTTGTAATTAATTTAATGTATTCGTGAAATTACAGTGAACGGTTCAAAACTTTCCGAGACAAGCCTATTTTTGCATGGGTGTTGTATCTGTAAAATTTCAACAAGGTTCAAAATTTTCGAGCGACATTTTTCGAGAATTTGTGGACGGAAACAAATTACAATTTTTTTTTTTATATGCCAACACTTAGAAACTTCATTTTTGATATTTTTATTATTACAAATTTATTGAAAATTAATATAGTTTTAATCAAACATTTCAAGTGCCGTTTTTCTTCCACAATAACAAAATAAGTTTGCGCACCGTCAATGCATTTCATAGTTTAATTAAAACTGGACACTTTCACTTTAAAAGTAATTGCGTACAGATTTTTATAAAAGGGTTAAATTAAAACATTAATACCTTACTTAAGAACTGTGATTATGCCTTGCGACCATGATAGTATTTGCGGTAAGAAACAACCACAGATAATCGAAATTTTCTGCAGCAAATAGTAGTACTTATTTGTATTCAATTAAAAATTTTCCTAAAAAATGTAATCAATATTCATGGCATTTAATGTGGAGGACATCTACTTTTTGTTTGGAATTATACTAATGATTCTGCATCAAATCTTTAAAAATAAACGTTTGTTGAATATTTTGTTTTGGTACACTAGATAAAAAGTTTTGCGAAATATTGTATCAAATTAACAACTACAATTTAGTTTGTTATGTAAACTTCCAGAAAATGTAATACGAATAGATGGAAAATTAATTGAGACGAGACAAAGGCAGTGAGGCAGGGAAGCATACTTGGTCCGCTGCTCTTTATTGTTTATTATAATAATTAATCAAATATCAAGACAAGTCAACAAGAAATCGGAAAGAGTACAAAGATAAAAATGAACTTTTCTACGCAGATGAACTTATTTTATTCGCACAGAACAGGCACAAACTTCACACTAAAAAAAATTGTTCTACAATTTCAGACAATTTAGATTTGTTTTTTTGCGAAAATGTCCAAGATAAACAATTAAGGCGGATTCATAAACCACAATAAAACAAGATTTATGAAACAGTACTAGTGCGAACATTAATACATATATGAATGCGAATTCTGGGTTCTAACCCAAACCAAAATCGAGGCCCGTGGAATGAAAATACTAAAAAACCAAAGAAGTTACAAAGATAGATAAAACCAGAACTGTAGTTATATGACAAAGGCCATTTGTTTGGAATTAACGACTATAAAACAGTGAAAACTGCGTGGAAAATTTGAAAAGAAAACGAGGAATGATGAAATTGCCAAAGTACTACAGGGAAAGAGAGTCTCAACTGAATTGTGAAAAATTATACAAGTATAGACTCATCATATTTTGCAAATTTTGTTTCAAAGTTATAATGCAAAATATTGTTATTCAGTTTTGATTTTTTTCCAAAAATTCTGGATGTCTAGGGTGAAAATTCGACACGGATTCACACACCACAAATGCAGGAGTATCTTATTTTAAAAGATTTAAAAAAACCTTTTATTATAAATTTTGGAAATTATGTCATCCCTTTGGTGGTGGGGATGATTAGCCAAATTTTAGTTAGCATCTACATGATATTCCTAATATGCATACAAAATATGACATCAATCGGTCCAGTAGTTTCGGAGATTATCTGCCTGATAAACATCGACACGAACGACCGCCAGACATAGACAGTCGACAGGCAAACGGAAATGGGAGACCACTTTTTTCGTACCCAGAGTTCATGAAACGTCGAGAATACATGAAAATAGCCAGTAGCCCGATGGACCCTATTACAATACTTCCTTCGATTACGCTCGGGAAGTAAAAACAATCAGTGGTGAACAATAACAGAAAAGCTTTTAGACTAAAATATCAAAATTGTGATGAATTAGGTTGTTAATGTAAAAAATGGATTTCTTTGGAAATTATTTTTTGCGAAGAAAAGTTTGAAAGTTGAATGGTCAAATCAGGTTTTTATCAAAGAAAAAAGTACATTATTTTCGTTTTTTCAACAAAAAATTGAAAAAAAAAAAGAGTTTAGACAGTACTTCCCTCGCTGCATGTCACACTTTTTTCTGATAGATATTTCTTTGACAAAAAATTTTTAGACTAAAAAGCCGCATGTATAGATGATGTATATTATTTCATCTATCTTAAATAGGATTTACTCAGCAAACTTTTGAGCTGACGTCATCGAACGCTTGGTGGGAATGAACAGGCAAATTTTGTTTGGTGATTTGTCAGGCTGATAATAACCTCAAAGCATGTGCGAAATTTTATAGCTGTAGGTGTCTAACGCAAATTTCAACATTTTATTATAGGTACAGTTTTGATTTTTTTCTTAAATGTGCCCACTGCACATGTAGGATTTAAAACGTGGGTGCACTGATAAACTTGTGTGTAAAAGTGTAAACACCTAATATTTTGCATATTTAAATCGGATCTGTCCAGCAAACTTTGGAGATGACATCATCCAATATTTTGAATAGCGATTCCATATAACCGTAACGTTTGCAACGTCTCACAGCAGTCCGTTATATTTCCTAAGAGAAATTTTTGAACATTCGTACGTTTTCGACTTTTTCTAAAAAAATTGTAAGGGCCGATTAATAAACCACAAGTATAGAAACACATTATCTTATAAAATTTAAATGGGAATTATGTAGCAAAATTTTGAAGTGAAGCATCACAATAAATGTTGGTGACCATGAACAAACTCTGGTTAAAGTACACCCAAAATTCCACAGTAACCACACTAGTGGTTGCGGAGAATACGTATGTAATAAAATCGTTGACAGACAGACGACGGAAAGGGGAAACGGATTATTACACAAACAAATCCCGTTCTTTAAAAATAATATTTTATTTTTCGATTTTTGTTTTATAATAACGTCTGTAAAGAAAAATCAGTGACGTAAATAACACCTTTGCAAGCCTGCAAATTCCACAGACAATTTGACAAAGATTACCGAATATTCCGTGTATGTATGAAATTTGTAGTAGAAAACAATTTTTAAACGATAACAATTTTCATGAGTTATTTCAATATTATCTAAAGTACTGATTGATTTCAGTGTTGTTAATAAGTGGCCTACGTCAACAATTCTACGTCCAGTACTAATTTCTCGACGTGTCATGACCTCTAGAGTACGAAAAAAGTGGTCTCCCGTTTTCGTATGTCTGTCTGTCTGTCTGTCTGGTGTCTGTATCCATTTTTTATTAGACAAGTGTTCTCCGAAACTAGTGGATCGATTATTGCCATATTTTGTATGTATATTAGAAATATCATGTAGATGGTTAAACGCTAACTAAAATTTGGCAAATCATCTCCACCACCAATGGGATGACGTCATCTCCAAAATTTATAATACAAAGTTTTTTAAATTTGAAAAAATTAGATACTCCTGCACTTGTGGTGTGTAAATCCGTGTAGAATTTTCACCCTAGACATCTAGAATTTTTGGACAAAATTTTAACATATCCGGGTTCTCATAAAAAAAATAAAATTCGCATAATCAAATTCTATAATTTTTCGAAAAAGCTGGGTTTGTTTTATTGTATTTCAGAGGCGAGAGAAGTTCTGTTGAAATAACCTTCCACCAATTTGCTTCATTCAAGGGTTGAAAAATTCCAAGATTACTAAGAAATACTCACAATAACGAACCTTCGTACCTACAATAAAATATTCTTGGAAATTTAATTTTACTTTTCTACCTACTTACAGAATATGCCCAACACGTACGAATTTTTATGGAAACAGGAATTTAAAAATAAGAGGAAGAATTATGGTCGGAATTATATATATGAACAAGCATTTTTGTTGTTGTGTGTATTGCGAGTAAAGATCTCAACAGTCTCTGACAATGATTTTATTAATTTATTTTAAAACACACATTTGGCTTTTTTCTCTTCTTATGACAGTAAATTAGGTTAAACCGCATATCAAAAATTCTCTTTCAAGGGACTTTATGCTAAAAAAAGGTAGGAGGTGCTATTTAAAAAATTATCGATGACGTCATACACCTGTCAAATATCGCTCAAAACTTTTGAAACTAATATTACAAAATGGCAATTTTTATATACCAGTAGACGTGTTTTTGCGTTTTTACTTCTCGAACGTAAGCTAAGAAATATTGTTTGTTTTCTTTCATAGTAGATAAATATTTTAGTTCCTTACTCTGCTCTACCTGCAAGCTGGGATACACTTCCCCCGCTGACAATAGGAGTAATAAAACTAGTTAAGTATTGTAACCGAAGTGAACGATTTTAACCCTTAGAGATGAGTGGCAGCTGTCATAACGAGGTAGCATGGGTGTTTTACAAGTTGCATATCTTTTAAAATAGAAATTTTCTTGAGGTGTGGTAGAGCCTTAACGCAATGTAACCAACGAAAAAACATATTCTCAGAATATGCTTGTACATACTGTTTGTTTATACTTCGAAAGAATTCACCTGTTAAGCACGTTCAGATAACAAGCACCAGCGGTGGCATTTGCATAAATGTTATACAGATTATAATAAAATAAAGGTGGATTCATGAACCACACATACATGAGTATATTATTTACACACATACAAACTAATTTCGTATAAGTTCATCTGTCTAATGAAAGTATTGTGTACTGAAACACGCGTACCAAAATATTTTCGTGATAGAGATCCGCGTTATTAATTAAAAAAAAAAAAAATCTTAGGGCCAGTTTAAACAATATTTTAACTGAGATTAAGTTAATTACGCATTTAATGCGGCGTTTGGCGACATCAGATTGGCGTAGAGTCCGCCACGTGGTATTAAAAATTGATCCCAGTCAAATATTTAATTGAGCTTCTATAAACCGGGTCTTAATGTATAGCTAAAATTTTAAAGGGACTTTTTGGCTAGTTTGGGAGATGTTTTCAATAATAAAATTATGAACAAAAAATATGTAATTAAACTTTTGGGTTCAGTAATTTTTAATGTAAGTGATTGTGACAAGGCGAGTACTAGGAAAACAGATAACCGAAAAGTGTGTAACAATATCATGTGGAGATATGGAGAAGTTAAAAACTGAATTTTCTAGAACATTATAAGTGTTAATTTACAATGAAGTGGTCAAGCAGATAAGGAATGCTGTTCTAGATAAGAATATTTTTCCTTTTTATTATTTCTTAAAATAACAACAGGTATAAAGGGAATAAATTCAAGCTCTGCTAATATTTTATAAATAATGATATAAATTTGCTTGTAAACTGAGTTTTAAAATTTATATAAAACATGAAAAGTCACTCAGGTTTGATTGTTTAAAACGTTTTCAATAGTTTTCCTGTTATTTAACAGGTGTTTTCCGCCTGATGATCCAGGTAATACATGCAGATTAAAGAAAGCATAATCAATTAATAATACAAATTCATACTTTTAATATTTTGGTCTCATTTTAGTCCATGAAATGCTTAAATTTTGCTTTTGTGTGATTTAGAACAATCTGAGTCGATCAAATCCGCAAAAATAAGCCCTAATATTTTAAAATTTGTGGAAGAACAAGGCGACTTTCGGTTCTCTTTTTGTTTTACAAAATTGTGACGTCAGTTTTCAAAATAAAAATGTAACAGACAAAACGTTAAAAGACGAGTTTAATGGTAAATCGCAGTTTATTTACTTCATTAACTGTAGCATAAAAAATACCTTCAATCTTTAAGGTGTGATAACTTTTTTTTTTTAATAAAATAGCTTTTAGTGAAAGAATGTGCCGGTACTTAATTGCAGAATAGCGTCCATAAAACCGTGCATACCAACTAGGTGACGTTTGCGGCAAATTCTGAACTAAATAATTTATTTTTTAATTATATGTTGTATGTGTAGTGAAATAATTTGATGGTTTTATGGTTTAGCCGGTATGGGACATACTAATACATTATATCCATTATGGTACACCTTATCAGTAATATGTTTACAATAAAATTTACGATAATTTTTGCAACTTCCAAGGCACTGGTGTGTATAGTCTTATCTTTTAATAATTTTATTTCGAGTATATTCATTGTTTTTCACATCAAAGAATTCAATGTTTTTATGTAATTTTTAACATGTGTGGCATTTTAAAACTGTTGATTACAATAACATAAAGATTATGAAAAAGACCATGTCAAAATTCTCCATGGTGACAATGCGCTTAAACTGATTTAACTACCTACTTTTTCAATAGTTATCAGTTAAGTAGAAAATTTCAAAATAACAAAAATAATTTACAGTTTAATACAACAGGATATATGTCATTATAAACAAATAATATAAGTGTGTTTCTGAATTTTATAGCACAATAATATCCCACGTCAAAAAAATATTTAAAAATACTCCTGTAACTCCTTTTATAAAACGAAACAATTCTGAATAATCATGTTTTGATATTTTCACGAATTTCAAAACTGTTTTGTCTCCAATCCAGTAAACAAATTTATCAATCGGAAAACTACTCACCGAGTCATCTCCTGTCAATCCCTTGACCTGCAGAAGTTCCGCAGTTCTCAAAAACGTCGCTAAATTTTCCCTGAGTACGTTCACCTCTCCCATGTACATGAACTCGAGAATATCCTTCATGTTACCATGAGCCACATCTTTAAGTATGACGATGGGATGTTTGCACGGATTCACTTTAAACATCTGTTTAAAATAGGGGCTGCATATTGACAGAACGACTTTATGCGCCTGAAAGAAGTGCCCTTCCACAGCCAAAGTGACGTCCACCATTTCAGAGGATTCGAGTAATTCATGGAAGCCAGCAGTGAGGTTAGAATGGAAGTTGTTCCAGCGCAACGAAAACTGTTCGGTCGTGGCCATTTTACTGTAAACATCCACGAAAAGTTCAAGCCGCCATAACGTGTAAAAATAAATCGGGAAAATAGGTCGCTTACTCACCCTTTTCAAGGAATTATCACAATGTAAACAAGTTGGTTATCGAATTATCACTTTGAAGGACTTTGTTCGAGGGTTTAATCCTCCAAATTACATAACACGGAGTGGTTTTTCAAACACCAACCTTCAAAACACGAGTTGCTACCCTAATTATTCATTTCCGGGACCAATCCGGGCATCCGGGATGCGTGATTGACTGATGACAACCTTCCGAACTGAAAACAGGGCTGCCAACCGCCGCTGAAAACTACTACTGGCGGGAATGTTTGAAAGTGAGCTTTTTGTGAATGGTTCGGTTTATACTGCTGGGAAACTTTATTAGAAATGCGAAGAGGTTTTCCAACTTGTAACAAAAGATGGATTGCATAAGAATTAACTGCTACTTCAAGTGTTAGAACGATTTGTAAACATTTGTAGCAGAAATGGATTCGAAATTTTGAATTATTTCATTATTTTATCAAATTCAGTTGCACTTAAAATATGTAATTAAAAATTAACGTACATTATCTAAATAGGTTTTACCTATAAAAAATAAAAAACCGCATGGAAAAATATCTTTCGATCTAAAATAAATCGAATTAGAATTGGCTGTCAGATCAGTTGTGAACATGGTACTACTCATTACATCGTTCTGTCAACTAAGATGTTTATCACAAAATTAAACAAAACAGAAAGTGGGGTTTTAACCATTAAAATTAGTAAACAATTATTAAGATCATACCGAAAACAATTTAGGAAGGGAAATCACAGACAATTTTCAAAATGGGTCTTTCTTTCAGTGCGCAAGCATGTTGATCGAGTTACATAAATCTACAACTTCCATTAACTGTGAGTCTCAAAAACGTATTTTCAAGTGAAGGAACACAAAATACATGGGAGAAAGTTTAAAATTTTTTTATCAAAGAACTTTCGAAGCGAAGATAATGTATTGTGTCTGAAACCGTATGAGCAGTTGTACTGTCTTGTTGGAAGTATTGTTCCAACAATTTAGAGTTGGGGTACCTACTACAGTTTATAGATCAAATCATGGAATAACGATGATTCCTTTGTATGAAATCGAGCACCAGACACCTACTTTTTGAGGATGTAAATGAGGTTGGGTTTTTCAAGCCCAAAATTCGCATGTTTTGAGAGTTTGTGTAACCACGCTTCGTTGGTAAAAAAGTGGTATCAAGAGTTTTCTGTTCTTCAGGCAAAGTCTATCATGGACAACAATTATGCGATATAGAAACAATTCGTCTTCTTCTCGTCCACTGCAAAGCTTCTAATATTGACACTAGCGGCTTTTTCAAATAAACCTGCACAATTGTGCATTGGGTAATCGGTTTATACATCAGTGACAGGTAGATTTGACAATTGTTTGTCGCTCTGGTAATAATTGCACAAGAAAACGGCTTTATGCTCTACTAAAAACATTTTTTTCAGAAATCCGAAACAACGTCAACATCTACTGAGAAAAGGTGATTCGTTTCATTACTTCTAGAGTATGGCAAAATTAGTCTAACGTTACTTCGTCGGAACTTCCCTCACCCTTGAAGTATAGTCCAACAAATTCCGCTTTTTGAAAAATTATAGAGATCTTTTTTTTCTGATTACCTTTGTATAGTAAAAACTAGTGAAGTAAATGACAAATTCCAAGGAGGTGCCAAGAGTATTATTATCAGTGTACATGCTTAACTTCAATTGTTTATGTTTATACATCGAAAGAATGTCACGTAGAAATTTGTTTAATTTGAATGAGTTGTCTCCTCAAAACAGAGAACTAAAATTATTAACTAAATCACAATGGAACATAATGTTTTGAATATATATAAGACGTGGGTATTCTACCATTTTCTGGAAAATGAGGTTCTTAATAAAAATTGGTCGAAGGCTTTAAGTATAATCCGATAAATCCAGCACTTTAAAAAAATATATAAAATTTGATCTTACGATTTTCGTTTTGTGATAACCGCTGTAAATAACACCCCCGCAACTCCTGCGTCGTACCGATAATCTAAAATATATTTAAAACACATAACTAACGGGATAAAATGTCCTTCAGCACTAGGTAATAGCCTAATACCAATCTAAAGCTCAAGTGTTTATTTATGTTTATACATAGAAAGACTGTCACGTAGAAATTAGTTTGATTTGAATGAGTTTGCCTTGTCAAAACAGAGGACTAAATTATTAATTAAACCACAATCGAACAAAATGTATGAATAATATAATTCTTATTTTATCATTATTATGTAAAAAATTTGTGATGACGTCATCAACATGAATAATACTAGTCATAGCACAAGAGACCGTCTTGGTAAACATTCAAATCATTTTAAAATATGGTTCATTGAAATGACGTCATCAAATGTTGCTGGGGAGGACTAGCCACATTTTGGTTAACATTTAACTATCTACATGATATTTCTAATATACATACAAAATTTGACAACAATCGGTTCAGCAGTTTCGGGGATTACGTGTCTAATAAAAATGGATACAGATACCAGACAGATAGTCAGACAGACAGACAGACGGAAACGGGAGACTATTTTTGTCGTACTGATGTAGGAATCATGAAACGTCGAGAAAATAGGTCTCCCGTTTCCATCTGTCTATCGTCTGTGCTAATTTTTTTAAATGGATATTCACCGGGATTATTAGACTGATTGTTGTCAAATTTTATACATATTTTAGAAATATCGTGTAGACAGCAAAACTCTAACGAACATTTGGTTTATCATCCCCACCACAATAGGATGATGTCATCCCTATAATTTACTTTAAATATTATTTAAATTTTATAAAATAAGATACTCCTCTACTTGTGGTTTATGGATCCGTCTAGAGTTTTTATCTTAGGCATCCAGTTTTTTGGAAAAAAAAAATCAAAAATGTATAAGAATATCTTACAATTTAATTTTGAAATTGCGAAACCGAATGCTCTGAAATCTTGGAAATATTTTAAGGTTAGAGGCACCGTGATAAATCGATAATCACAATGTATTCGTTCATGGCCTCACCAAAAAATAATGATGTCATCCTACAATTCTGCCGAATAAATGTTCTTTAAATTTTATAAAATAACATTTATGAATCCGTCTTGAGTTTTTACCCTTCCGTTCAGATTTTTGGGAAAAGGATCAAAATTGTGATACATTTTATAATTTACTTTGAAATTGCAAAATCGAATGCTGTGAAATCTTGCAAATATTTTAAAGTCAAGAAGCATGGCAAATTTTTAATAAAAATTTGCCCATTTATGCCTCCACCCAAAAAAAAAAAAATATGGCGAATAAATGTTCTACAAAGTTATGACTGTTCTTGGGAAAAACGGAGTGATGCGGTTAATTAATTAATTAGTCATCTTCTCGGCGTTGAAGCGACAAGATCAGTCAAATTTCATTTTCTTTTAACCACTGATGCTTGTAATCTGAACGTGCTAAATAGTCGAATTCTTTCTAAGTATAAACATAAACAATTGAAGTTAAGTTTTTACTAAGAAACTGAGAATATCCTCATTTTTCTTTTTGGTTATCTGCTTCAAATACGTTTCATATTGGCCACACTTATGCGGACAAATTGGCGTCCCTGCGGTACAAGAGCTGCGGGAGTCTTATTTAATTGCTGGTTTTTACTTTACAGAGGTTAATACTAAACGAAAATCTCAAAACCAAATTTTATAATTTTTCAAAGAAGCGGAATTTGTTGACTGTGCTTCAATAAAAAAAGTGGTCTACGGTTATTTAGACAGAACTTCCCCACTCTTTACAAACAATTGAACAAATGCAGTTTCTTCGAAAAATTATAAAAGTTTATTTTGCAAAATATCATAAAATATATATCATTTGTTTTGGGATAACCTCTATAAGTAAAAAGTACAGATAATGTAATATATTTTGTCTTTTCTTTCTTAACATACTTAGCCATCTTTTCACAAGAAACTTAAAACATGGTTAAAATGGTACATTTTTGCAAGGAAATATGGATTTTGGGATTCTGGAGCGTAGCCTAATTGCAAAATCAATATTTCCTTGTACGAATTTTATTTTAAATATGTTTTAAGTTTCATGTTGTGAAAAGAAGTTTGCAAATAATAAAACAAAAAGGAAAAATTTAAGCCCGCCCACCTGCTCTGTCTCAATTGTGATGATTTACCGTGAACCAAGAGGCGGAGCTTAACTGCTAAATAGATAAATTTTTCACAAGAAATTAAAAACAGGTTTTTGAGTAGCGTGTTGTTTAAAGGATACTATGTATAATTAAAATAAAGACAAAATCTGAACACCACCCACCCACCCCATCTCAATTGTGATGATTTTTTTTTGTTATTTTGTTTTTTCTTTCTTGACGTACATAGCCATCTTCTCACAACAAGAAACTTAAAACATGGTTAAAATGGTAAATTCTTAATGACAAATATGGATCTTGCAATTAAGCTCCGCCCCTCGATCTCACAACGAATGAAAAATTCATCGCAATTGAGAGTTGAGATCGGGGCGGGGTCTAATTTTTGGCTTTAATTTTTTCTTAATGTACATAGTATTCTTTGGACAACACGATACTCAAAAACATGTTTTTAATTTCTCGTAGAGAAATAAGGATTTTGCAGTTAAGCTCCGCCGTCTTGGCTCATGACAAATAAAAAAAATCATCACAATTGAGACAGGGCGGGTGGGCGGGCCTACATTTTACCTTCTTTTCTTAATATGTGTGGACTTATTTCGATAATAAGAAACTTAAAACATGTCCAAAATGGTAATGTTTTGTAGTACCTAATCTACTTAAATCCTCCACTTTTCTTCTACAACCCCTTTAAATGCGGCCATCTATGTTTGCACTGAGGAATGTTTTTAGTTTTTTCGCTAGAATTTGAAAAACTCGAATTTGATGATCTATAACTTTTAAACTAGACGAACTATTTGGATTATAGTGTAAAAAAATATTCGGTTAGGAGGAGATTCGAACCTACGTGGTGCTGAGCACGAGAATTCCTTGAACTTGATCGGCTAAGATGCATTTAATGCAGGAGCCTGATATCGGCAACATGAAAGATGTGACAAATATTGTATAGAAAATATTGTGTAAAGTAATTGTGATAAAAATTGGGGCGGATTCATAAACAATACGAATAAGTACTGTTACGTTGCTCGGGCGAATAAAAAAATTGGCGTGGGTAAAACTCAAGAATTTATCTCTTAATAACTCGAATTACACGACTAACTATTACAGCGATTATAAAGTAATTCCGGCCTAACTTCTCTTGACTCGACTAACTGAATAATCCGTTCCGAAAGGTGGACTCTATTTAAACAGTACGCATAACGTAATTGAACTCACAATTTGGATATTTTTTTGCGAAAATCTGGATGCCTAGGGAAAAAACGCAAGGCGGATTCATAAGCCACAAGAACAAGGTGTATGTTAAGTATTTAATAAAATTTAAATGGTACTGATTATGTAAAATTTGAGGTGACGTCATGAAAGTGTAGCTGGGGATGACATTAGACAAATTTTGGTTAGCATTTTACCATCTACACGATATTTTTAATATACATATAAAATTTAACAACACTCACTTCAGTAGTTTCGAAGATTGTCGAATAGAAATCCACATAATCAAACAGACAGGTGACAGACCGACAAACGGAAACGGGACACTATTTTTTATCGCACTCTAGGGGTCATGAAACGTCAAGAAAACATGAAAGTAGCTGTTCGTTCGATGGATCCTCTGACGCTAGTTCCTTAGCTTACCCTCGGCAAGTAAAAACTGGATTTGTTTGATTATACTTCTTATATGGTTTATAATCCATCTTTATCCATGAAAACATAGTTCATAATTAGAAATTATATAATGAAGCTATTAGAAATTTTGGTGAAATAGTAATCTTTATTAAAACTTTAGAATATTACTTTCTCCGAAAATTTATTAAATATATGTATATTTTTATCAGGCGTCGAGATGAGAGGGGCTTACACTTCAGTATTTTGTTAATAATATTTAAGAGAATTACTTTCGATGGCTCACATTAATAAATAAAGTAATTATTGGTTTTATCAGTCAACTTAGAGATGAGTTGAATAATTTTCCTAAAATTCTACGAAATTTGTTACTTTGATGTAGTTTACTATTAATGTCTCAAAAAAAAAAAACAAAATAATAGAGTAATATTCACAACAATTTGCGAAACACTATGCCTTATACGTATTAAAAAGTGGGGTTTACCTAAATGCCGGCAGTTCAGATTTCTGTAACTGGTAATATCGATCGTAAAAAATTTGTATCACCTTACCTGGAACTAGTGAGATTTGCAGGATAATACTCAGTTGAAGGTCTCACAACTTATTACGATCGTCCTCTTCAACGAGACTTAATGGAAAACTATAAATGAATTTTCACACTTCACTCCTGTCATAGTTTTTTTACGTGTTTTAACACACACTAAATTTTAGAATCTTACTCGTAAATGGTTAACAGCCGAGTTATATCTTGTAAATGTAGTTTTTTTTTTTTTTGGTGTACATTATATTCTAAACAGCAGTAATGTTGTGGAAAACGAGGAAAAATGCCACGGCAACTTTGAAACGTGGGTTCGAATCCCACTCAGGCCCTAAGTTTTTTCCTTTACTGTGACGTCACAGAGTAACGTGGAAAATGAGGGGAGATAATCACAGTCTGTGATGGTCTAGAGATTGGGACGCCCACCCAGCACGCGGTAGCGTGGGTTCGAATCCTGCGGAGGTAGTGACATTTTTGCCCACTTTCATTGCAAGGTGTCTAAATTTCAGCCATTTGCCTTTATAAATAGATGTAAATTACCCGGGAGAAGCATCTTAAGCACACCTTGGGTGCATTATTCTATTCCACCAGTTGGAATTTGATTTGTTTTTTCAAATAATACACAAATTGTATTTTTTTAGAGAAAACTGATGAAAATTACGACACAGTTTGCCTGCGATTTAAAGCAATTTTAAATTAATAAATAATGTTCAATATAGTATACGAAAATGATCCAAATCCAAAGTAATTAGACTAGAATACAAGCTATTTTAGTTTTACCCCGGATGCACTTATACATTCGGGGTGTTTTCACTGACTCCAACGATGATGAGTACTTTTCGGGGTTTCAAATATGCTTTTTGAATACAGTTGCATATAATTTGATTTTTTGTTTCGTATTTGTGACGTGCGTATTTGTGTACATAAAAGTGAAATAAAATTATCATTATTATTCTTATCAAAACTATGCGGAATTACAATATAACAAACAACGTGTTTAATTGGTTATTCTAACTATCACTTGGAGCTAGACCAGTCCGAGAAACTTTGTCGGGGCGCTGGCGGAGGAGGGTCGTCTTGGTTGAAAGCGTCGCGACGCTTCGTTATCACCCTTTTGAGAATGTCAGCGACGCCGGTGTTTAGTAAAGCGTTTATGCAACTACTGCTTGACGACTGAGGTGTAGGTTTCAGCAGTTGTTGCTTCTGCTTCTGAATTTCTGTAGGATCCATTGCGTAGGAGTACGAACGCTCACGAGGTATGATGATTTCTTCCTTGGAGTTCTGGAAAAATTGCGTTATTCTCTTCATAGAATTCTGTAAAAATATGTCAGTTGGTTATGCAGCTCTTACAGTTTGGTACAATTACGGGAACTGAGTGGGGATCACTGAAGGACTTCATTTTCATAAAACGTTTTAACTTCTTAAGGCCTGGTTTCTCATCGCGTATCAGGTCTAAGTATTTTAAAAAATTGCGAATGTTTTCCAACAGTTCACAACTGACTGGCAACTAAAATAAAATTTTTATTGGATTATTATTATTAGTGTGGAGTGTCTTCATTTATGATAAAGTATTTGATTAATCTTATTATTATGATCATCACATTTACAGGTTTATAATTAAATAAAAAAAAGTTGACACAAATCCTACACATTTTATGGATAAAACTGGCCTAATTTATTATACTATTGTCTGTTTTGTGTCTTTTTATGTATTTCACTAAAGCTGACTGAATTTCATATCGTTATGTGTAAATAAACTATTGAGATCAATGACCCAAAATTGTTAAATAAAATGTGAAATTAACAAAAATGTAGTATTTTAGGTAGAGCGGAAATACTTTGAGAACAATGAACAAATCTTTCTTCGAAGTTTAACCTAACAATAATCTTTACCGTTAACTGTTTTTAAAAATCATTCATTTTTCATGTCTTTAAACAAATACTATAACTGTATCTGGGCAAGAAAAATAATATGGAAATATATTTTTTAGCACATCAAAACCTAAGTGACTAAATGTGACGAATCAACATATTCTTCTCGTACTATTTCCACTCTACGTTCTGTATGTAAAAAGTATTTCTGTAGCTGTGAAGTATCATCGTTACTATATATGAACTGGTTTTATATGAGTTTATAAAATATGGCTTAGGTAATACATTCGAGAGAGGTGAATATAACTTTACAGTTTTAATAGTTTTTTTACAATTATACAATGAATAGAAAGTAACTACGACTTAATTTTATTCATAATAATGTGTACAACTGATTCTTAATGTTGTAACATGAAAAAACTGTAATTAAAATAATCTACCTAACAATAAAATAGCTTGTTTTCAGAAGACGATGGATTACTGCTTAAGTTAAGTCATCCTTTTATTCTTCATGCTGAATGCTCTTTTTGCTTATATGAATACCTTTTTAAATGCTAGTTCTTTTGGTAGATTTTTAATAATCTGTTTAAATAATTTATGCAAAAATATGAAAAAATCCAGAAAAAATTAATTTAAGTTAGGACTCAAAAATTTATCAATAAGTGCAGAAATTAATAGAAGGACAATATGATGAGAAAAACAACTTATTTTTTTCAAAAATCAAAATAAAATGTCTGATTATTATATATTATTTCCAGATTTAATTTCGCGGCCCTATATCTTGAAAACGGAGAGAGATATTGAAATTATGTAACGTTGTTGTTTTTGGGTGGGTTAGTACATTGCAAATATAATCCATACTTTTTTAAATTACAACCTATATATTTTTTAACGCATTTTGGGAGATAACCAAATTACGATTACAATGAAATCACATATTATAGAGTTTACTTCATTTTTAGACGATAAAAAATTGGTCGAAAGTTTCTTCAACAGAACTTTCTTCGCCCCTGAAAGAACAACAAAACATATCCAGCTTTTTCGGAACTCCAATAAGTTGAAATAAAATTTGTACTTATATGTAATATTAAAGTAAATGTAAAGAAGCATGCTACGCGTATGTTCCAAATGAGTGTTTCCTTGACAAAATTTTGTGATGACACCATCAACTTTTCTTGGATAGGTGCAGTGTAATACTAATATGTAGTACCCTCCCAAATTTTTGGAGAAAAGGGAGTTCCTGTTTTAATCAATAAAGTAATTGACTCATTAATTTTTTTTGAGTCACCCTGTATAAGCAATTCTAAAAAATATGAATGCACTTATAAATCACAAATATAAATTCATCATCTTGTGCACATTTTAGGAGCGATTTATTAGGCAAAATTTTGAGATGAGGTCATATATCTTTTGATTAAAAATTTACCATGCTTACCATTCGGATTTGCAGATTCAAAATTAAATTACAAAATGTTGTTATATAATTTTGATTTTTTCTAAAAATCTGGATGTCTTGGGTAAAAACTAAACACGAATTCAGAAATTACAGGTGTGGGACTATGTTATTTCACACAATATAAAACCATGTTACTATGTATAATTTTGAGGTGACGACATCACATTCTTGGTGGGCTAGTGTTTTGCCATTTACATGATATTCGTAATATACATATAAAATTTGACAACATCGGTTCTGTAGGTTCGGAGATCATCTGTCTAACAAAAATCGAAAGAGACGGCGGGATAGACGGACGGGAACGGAAAATTGTCGTCTGATGGACTTCCTTAGCTTACGCTCGGGCAGTAAAAAATAAAATGTATAAGTATTAAAAAATTTAATTGTTTTTCCAGAAAGTTTAAAATAAAATGTGGACAATTTGGACATTTAAAAAAAAATGAATTTGAACCCGAATATTTGGAAAACCGCTCACCATATCGACTTTGGATTACATTCTCTGGTAGATGTATCATTTCTCTGTAAATAAACTTTTTTTCATAATTTTTTGCTGTCTAGTTTTTCCGGAATTCCCCTGAATGAATCCTTAAAAAATATATACCTATAGGATTGCTCCTAGATTTTCGATGTTCGTCTGCAATCTTTGCATGGGGCCGCGAACACGCTGTTTTGTGATTGAGGTGGTCGAAATCTAACATCCAGAGTTTATTATGGATTTTTAGACAACTTCTCCAAACCTTAATTTTTTCAATAACATCCCCGACATCAAATTTTTGACCTTTTTTCCGAGCACCGTCAAAAATTACCAAAACAATTTCCATTGTTAAGTTCGACCCATAGAAGTTTTTCACCGCTTTATTTCTTCGAAAATTTTTACCATTTTTCTAGAATGTTCAAAATATAATATGAACAATTTTGAGGAAATTAATAATTTTGACTGTGAATGCCAATATTTGCAAAACCGCTCGCCTATTGATCTTGGATTATTGTCTGTGATAGATATAACATTTCTTCGTAAACGAGATTTTTTTCATAATTTTTCACCCTTTAGCTTTTCCGGATTTGCCCTAAATGAATCCTTAGGAAAAATAAGATGGTTACCCCTGGATTTTCGATGTTTGTCTGCAATCTTTGCCTGGAGCCGTGAATACACTATGTTTTTTGATTTAGGTCGTCGAAACCTCAGAAATTTTCAGACAACTTTTCTAAAAGTTGAATTTTTCAGTACCACCCCCTATATGAAATTTTTGATCTGTTTTCCGAGCGCCGTATAAAATTACCAAAACAGTTTCTTTTGTTAATTTCGATCCATAGAAGTTGTTCATGGCTTTATTTCTTCGAAAAGTTTTACCATTTTTCTAGAATGTTCAAAATATAATATGAACAATTTTGAGGAAATTAATAATTTTGACTTTGAACCCCAATATTTGGAAAACCGCTCGCCTAGTGACCTTGGATTATGGTCTGTGATAGATATAACATTTCGCCGTAAACGAGATTTTTGTCATAATTTTTCACCCCTTAGTTTTTCCGGATTTGCCCTAAATGAGTCCTTAGGAAAAATAAGACGGTTACCCCTGGATTTTCGATGTTTGTCTGCAATCTTTGCCTGGAGCCGTCAATACGCTATGTTTTTTGATTTAGGTCGTCGAAACCTCAGGAATTTTCAGACAACTTCTCTAAAAGTTGAATTTTTCAGTACCACCCCCTATATGAAATTTTTGATCTTTTTTCCGAGCGCCGTCTAAAATTACCAAAACAGTTTCTGTTGTTAATTTCGCCCCATAGAAGTTGTTCATGGCTTTATTTCTTTGAAAATTTTTACCATTTTTCTAGAATGTTCAAAATATAATATGAACAATTTTGAGGAAATTAATAATTTTGACTTTGAACCCCAATATTTGGAAAACCGCTCGCCTAGTGATCTTGGATTATTGTCTGTGATAGATATAACATTTCTTCGTAAACGAGATTTTTTTCATAATTTTTCACCCTTTAGCTTTTCCGGATTTGCCCTAAATGAATCCTTAGGAAAAATAAGACGTTTGCCCCTGGATTTTCGGTGTTTGTCTGCAATCTTTGCCTGGAGCCGTGAATACGCTGTGTTTTTTGATTTAGGTCGTCGAAACCTCAGGAATTTTCAGACAACTTCTCTAAAAGTTGAATTTTTCAGTACCACCCCCTATATGAAATTTTTGATCTTTTTTCCGAGCGCCGTCTAAAATTACCAAATCAGTTTCTTTTGTTAATTTCGACCCATAGAATTTGTTCATGGCTTTATTTCTTCAAAATTTTTACCATTTTTCTAGAATGTTCAAAATATATAAAGTGAACAATTTTGAGGAAATTAATAATTTCGACTTTGAACCCCAATATTTGGAAAACCGCTCGCCTAGTGACCTTGGATTATGGTCTGTGATAGATAAAACATTTCGCCGTAAACGAGATTTTTTTCATAATTTTTCACCCCTTAGCTTTTCCGGATTTGCCCTAAATGAATCCTTAAGAAAAATAAGACGGTTACCCCTGGATTTTCGATGTTTGTCTGCAATCTTTGCCTGGAGCCGTGAATACGCTACGTTTTTTTATTTAGGTCGTCGAAACCTCAGGAATTTTCAGACAACTTCTCTAAAAGTTGAATTTTTCAGTACCACCCCTTATATGAAATTTTTGATCTGTTTTCCGAGCGCCGTCTAAAATTACCAAAACAGTTTCTTTTGTTAATTTCGACCCATAGAAGTTGTTCATGGCTTTATTTCTTCGAAAATTTTTACCATTTTTGTAGAATGTTCAAAATATAATATGAACAATTTTGAGGAAATTAATAATTTTGACTTTAAACCCCATTATTTGGAAAACCGCTCGCCTAGTGACCTTGGATTATGGTCTGTGATAGATAAAACATTTCGCCGTAAACAAGATTTTTTTCATAATTTTTCACCCCTTAATTTTTCCGGATTTGCCCTAAATGAATCCTTAGGAAAAATAAGACGGTTACCCCTGGATTTTCGATGTTTGTCTGCAATCTTTGCCTGAAGCCGTGAATACGCTATGTTTTTTGATTTAGGTCGTCGAAACCTCAGGAATTTTCAGACAACTTCTCTAAAAGTTGAATTTTTCAGTACCACCCCTTATATGAAATTTTTGATCTTTTTTCCGAGTGCCGTCTAAAATTACCAAAACAATTTCTTTGTTAATTTTGACTTGTAGAAGTTTTTCACGGCTTTATTTCTTCGAAAATTTCTACCTATTAGGAAATTCTAGCAAATATTTGCCAAAAATTATAAACCAAAACCACAGTACCGAAAAGTTTGAAAACTGTTGTTAAATACGATACTACAGTTCAAAATTAATTTGTTAAATCTCCTAGATTTTATTGAGTTAATAAAATAAAAATATCACACAATATGTTCTAGTGAGTTCAATCACTATTATTGATTATTGCATATTTAAGAAAAGGATACAAAAATACTAAGGTATTAGAACTACAGGAAAGTGCCAACAATTATTAGAGTATTAGTGAAAAAAATGTCTTAAAAAAAATGCTCAAATTTACTACATCAACTTACTTGCAACGAGTACGGTTGTGAGTAATACGAATCATTTTTCGAATCATCGTACTCTTCTGCCCTCTTCAGTCCGTTTTGAAGTATCTCCGTAATTCTTTGCGAGCACTTGATGATTTCATTTACCTCATCTACCGACAGCATCACCTGTTCATTGGCCGTCTTCTCCGTAAACTCGCGCTGCGTACTGCACGTGCTCTTAGCGTCTGAGAGTTCGTCACCAGTACGATCCTCGTTCGAAGTACTCAGATAAGGACTCGACAAGTACCGACTCCTCGCACTGTTATAATTTAACCAGAAATTGTTCCACTCACCAACTTTATTGTCCACGTCTGTTACCTCCGCGGTACTTGTCGCACTACCGAAATACTCGCTATTGACGCTTTCGATCCAACTTAAATAACTCGAACCGGGACTCATTAATGTTTTTTCGTCTTTGGTATCGGTAGTACTGCGAACGGCGTAGTCGGTGCAGTCGGATGAAGACGACTCCATGGAGCTGCATTCTCGGCTAGGGTAAAGCGACGCTGCGGAGAAGGAGCTCTTGGTCTTGTACTCAGAAATTGATTCGAGGCTGAGTCTGTTGGATAGATGAAAACAGATTATATTCTAGTAAATTTTAAGTTTTTAGAGGTGGGTATCAGTGTTAATAAATATTTTAATCGCATTACGTTTGCCTTACTGTAGTTTCTGTTGCAATGGAATCTGCCAGTGCTAATTTCAAACAATTTATGCGTAATGAACCTTCACTTTTAGACGTTATTATGAAGTGGTTAATGTCGTGTTGTATCATTGTGATGAACCTCTACAAGAATTTACTTTTTTTTTCAAAAATGTCAAACATACAGTGATTTGTGTCATGATGTCAACTTGACGCTAAGAATTTTGTCTGGAATGGTGTAGGACATTTTTGTTCATCACTAGGTGGCGTAGTGTCTTTTAAACTGATGAAGTGGATCTGTTATTATTTTTACAAATTTATCTGGCCCGGAAATGGAAAGAGAGGAACTTGTCCTTTGTGCTAGACAAGGATAATACGAGAATAATAATTACTTTAACATATTGTTACGAAATAAACCCATACGCCGCCTTGGTAGGACGCCTATGGGTTTTTTATTATGTGCGGCGAAGATGGATGACTCATCATCGGTGACGGCAGCCGGACGGCGTTCGCTAAAGAAGCGGAAGTCACGATGTGAACGAGGAGGATTGAATCAGCGAGTCGAGTCCAGTGAATGGATTCAGTCAAGTTGCGCCGGAATTATTTGGTACATAATCGCTGTGTAAATTAGAAGTGTAAATTTGAATTACTAAGAAATAAATTGTTGAGTTTACCCATCGATTTTAAATACCCGTTTAACGTAACAATATGTTTGGGACCAATCAAAACTATAAAAAATGCAGTCTAATGACACGTATATAGCCACAAAAAAATGTAGGAAGCACAGACATATCTTTCTGTTTCAAATATTCACTGAATGCCACGCATGTGAGATCTATTCACATTAGTGTCCTTTATGTATACTAGATATTATACAGGGTTATTATAAATGGTTCTTCATCGTAGGTGGCTTAAACAAAAGCGGATAGAGGTAAACAGATAGATCGAAACTTTTTTAAGACACATTTATAATAACCCTGTATATGTACTACCTTTTTTAAGGTGTGGCGATGTATGTATGAATAATAGAAAAGTCCTTAGTTGTATTGTACAATTATTTACAAAAGGCGCCTATATGTGTACTTTTACGTATATTTTATCGAAAAAAGTCCTCCAGTAGGCGAAAATAGTATATTATTAGCCAAGGTTGCAGAGCCAAGCATTCTAGACCGAGCGCAAATTAGAACCCGAGACGCGCAGCGTCGAGGGCTCTGAAGCGCGAGGTCTAGAAGTGGCTTTGCAACCGTGGTTAATATACTATTTTTTTCACTAGTAGAAACCATAAGACAATAAACTGCAAAAATAAACGTTCAATTTTTTGACGCAACATGATTTTGTTTTGATTTCTAATCAAACTTAATCTAAATCTTCAATACAAAGAAAACCGTTTATACTTGTCCCTGAGTTAATCATTTTATCTTCTACCGTCTACCAACTACCATGCGTATACTCAAGTAATGTTTGTAGCACACATTTGTTCATTTTTTAAGAAATAATCACATCAAACATTGCATACATAACCTCAATTTTTCTTTTTGAACCGGTGGTCGCAAAAGTTGAATTTGCTACCACTAAATGAGTCGACATTTGCATGCGTCATGGCTGCTAGTGAAAAAAATTTATTTTTAAAATAATGATGTCGTTAACACCAAAGTGTCGCTTGTTGAATTTCATCATTACGGTCAAATAACTGTCAAATAAAATGTCTAATAGGTCAATACCAACATCTTTTTTTTTTAATAAATTTTATATTATCTCATGTATAAAACAGAAGTTCTGTACTACTGATTTTTGATAATTATATTTTTTTAATTAATTTTTTTATTGATTATTATTAAATATACGAGAGCGCGACAATACTGTATTCTTAATATTCGGGAAAATGGGGTGAACCGTTCTTGATTTGATGAATAAAAAAATAATTCGAAATGTTCGGACTGAGTTCAAATTCAGATCTTCCATTTTCTAAAACGGGAAATCAAGGTGGATTCATAGACCACAAAAACAGGAGACATTTCTTTATAAAATTTTAGTAATCTTAACTGCGCAAAATGTTGAGAGGACGTCATAAAATTGTTGGTGGGGGATGATTAAACAAATTTTGGTTAACGCTTTACTATCTGCACGGTATACCTAATAAATATATAGGTGAGGTAAATTTTTAGCTATTTAGTGTTCTGTTTTTAACGTGTAACACACAATTTAGTTTTTTAATGAAATATCCTATATATTTTTAGATATTTTGATTGATCTCTTTTTAGACTTTACAAACATAGTTTATTTTTGAAATTCTGATGCGACGTCGCCACGTTATTTCGATTTTATTGAATTTTTTTGGCAACAGAAAAGCTCATGAAAAAAATAGCCTTTGGGTTTTTTTTTAATCTGAGTTACAACATTTTGTGGACAGATCAGTAACGGTACATCAGTTTTTCCAAATAGAACACCGTATATTGTACTAAAGCAGTCTATTTTAATTTTTGGTCTCAACATATGTTAATCGACATATTAGAAGAATAAGAACAAAAATGTAGTAAGATATAGCAATAAAATACATGGAGTTATATTTGAAAAGTTTAAAGTCGTAGATTTTTTCTTCCACAAAATATGCTAACACAAATTTTAAAAATAATCCTATTGTACATTTTTTTGTGATTCCTATTGCCAAAAAATTCAAAACAATTGGAATAACGTGGCAACGTCGCATCAGAATTTCAAAAATAAACTGTGGTTATAAAACCTAGGAAGAGGCTATTCTGGATTCTGGATTCTGGATTCTTAATTTATGGGGGCTGACCGTAGCCAGCCGGCACTTAGGCCTCGCCTTTGGGCCCATTGTACCTTCCCCAAGTCCATATCAGGGTGTTTTCCCGCTCCTCTACTCGTCAAGCCACCCAACTGCTTGAATGTACTTGAGTAATGCAGAGGGTGGAAACTCCCTGATATTTGCCATACTAGGCCAGACGTCCCCTAGTATGGATTCCCTGTAGGAGGCTAGGGCTGGACACTCACGAAGAATGTGCTCAGCTGTTTCCTCTTCTTCATTGCATCCACGACAGATTGGGTCTGTTACCACCCCTATCGTATGTAGATGTTTGTTAAACTGGTAATGTCCCGTAAGGAATCCTACCAGTTTACGCAGTTTGTCCCTTGAAAGTGAGAGATAAAATTTCGTCAACTTACGGTCTGGTGTCGCCATACAAGCTCTACTATGCCGACAGCTGCTCAACTTCACCCATATCTGCTCATGGCGTCTCTGGGTATATTGCTTTACGAGTTCGTTCGAGAGGGCGACCGAAGGCGTGATTGCCGGTTCAGGTCCCCAGAAGGGCATGCGCGCGGCTCGCTTCGCCATCTCATCTGCCCTCTCGTTTCCTTCGTTGCCACTGTGTCCTTTGATCCAACAAAGTTCCACACTATTCCTCTGCGTTACATACTTTAGCGTTTGTCTGCACTCCCAAACCAGCCCGGATCGAACCATACAGCTGTCCAGGGCTAGTAGTGCAGACTTGCTGTCAGTAAGTATGCGTATTGATTTGTTGCCGATTTCACGTTCAGCAATGATTCTAGCTCCCAGCATTATTCCCATCAGTTCTGTTTGTAAGACAGACGTGTGGGTGCCGAGAGGTACACTGATTTGTGCGTTCAGTTGTTCGGAGTAGATGCCGGCTCCTGAACCACTATCTGTTTTGGCACCATCGACATAGATATCTATGTCGGCTCGTCTAGGAAGAGGCTAAGAGAATAAATAAAAATATACAGGGTATTTCATTAAAAAAAAATAATTTTTGGGTTACTTCTTAAAAAGAGAACATTTTATATACTATATAATATATATAGTTAAAAATAATTTTGTATCGTTTTCAATGAACCGTTTAACTTTGGTCTTTGACTTTTTTCTCGACACAGACGAGAGATAGACAGAACACACACAGAGAGAAACGGTAGACCCATTTTTCGTACTATAGGCATCATGAAATGTCAAGAAAACATGAATGTAACTAGTCGCTCGATAGACCCAATGTCATTCAGGAAATAATACATATAAATTTGAGAATATAATTCATGGATCACATGACCCCATTTCTTCCAATAGAGTTTGTCCATGCCCTTAGTTACATGTCTATCACAGCGATAATAATTTTATTGCCTTATTGTGGTCTGTTGCTACCTAAATTTTAAAACTGTCAAATTTGACAAATTTTAGAATTTCATAAATTTTTTTGTCTATTATGGCTTGCCAACGTTGGGGGCAAGCTCAAAACGACGAAATCAATTCTATGATCAAAAAATATGTTCATTTATTATATTCTCATGTTGAATATAACTCGTGATACGATTAATAATCGAAGATATGGCTCGTGAAACCGAAGCAGCACATTCAACTCGTGCTTCGCACTCGTTGAATCTGCAGCTCGGTTTCACTCGAAATATTATCGATAATAATCATATCACTTGTTATATTATAATTGACAACAATAGGCCCATTAGTTTTGGAGATTCTCTGTCTATTGAATATCGGAATAGACGACAGACTCTAGGGGCCATCAAACGTTGGGAAAACATGAAAGTAGAAATTCGCCAATCGGATCACCGCTCGGGAAGTGAAAATTTAGACCTACTTAACTTTTGAGATGACTTTATCAAATTTTTAATGGAGGCGAACAGTAAAATTTTTGTTTGCGTTTTGCTTTTCAAATACATTTTGTAGCAGACAGGTCGACAAAAAGGCACACTGGAGAAATTTCGAATCCTTCAATTTTTTTTTGATATGTCGAGGAAACATGAAATTTGAAATTCAAAAATCCGTATACTTAAAAATTCAAAAATATGAGTGGAATAATAAACTACGCCCATAAGTGCATACTGTGTTACATATTTTAAATAGGATTATTACTTAGCAAATTTTGAGGTGATGTCATCAAAATTTTGATGTGGATCGATAAACGACTTATGGCCCTAGCGATTTATCGGCTGATGATAGCCTCAAAGCAAGTGTAGAATTACAGAACAATTTATTTGGCAGAAGATAAACTGTAACACTGTGTTGTATAATTTTTTTCCAAAAATTGGAAGGTATAATATATAATATTTTGCACAACATTATAGATAAAATTTATTTAGTAAAATTTTTGAAATAATGTCATAAAATTTTTAAAGGGATAAAGATATAAATTTGTACTTAGTTATTTACGATAACTTTAAAATTTTTGCAACATTTTAGACCAGTTGGTATTCAAATTAATTTTCTTTCACCGTTGTGAATTGTTTAACCAAAAACTTGCTGTTAATAAAAAAAAAGGGATGGATTAATAGACCAGAAATACAGAAGTATTTTATTTTATAGGTGTTCATAAATTATTATTGTATCAAGGGTGGCTTTGGAATGTCTTGGGTTAATTATTTTGTCGCCTTGTTACCACAGTGGGGCATTTTTTGACATTTCAAAGACGTCCTTGATCCAGAATGATTTAAGGCCACACTATACAAAAATACAAAATTTTGTAACGACGTCATCAATTTGTTGGTGGGGATAAACAAAGTTTAGTTTTGTATATTTTAAGACATAATTATTTTAAAGTATACAAAAAATTCAGCAATAATCGGACTACTCACTTTAGAAATTACGTGTCTAATAAAATCTCCAACAATATAATAGACAGACGACATTTTGTGTTTTTGAAAAAACTGACACATGTGATAGTGATTCACTAGTCTCTAACGTGTGTACTGACCTGTATGTACTGTCCAAGGATTTCCGATACCTCTCTGGAGCTGGATGCAGCTCCGGACTAGTTCTGGGCGACTTGGTCTGCTGCAATTCACTATCATCCCCATTAACACTGACTTCTTTTTCAATTTTTTTGGAAGCTCTTCGCACAGTTCCAGTGCGACTGAACACCGGCGCTGCAGATCCGAACAGAGTTAAGTCGGTGAAATCATTACTATCCCTCATCATCAGTGCTTGGTTTGGTGAACTGCTGGATGACTCCGAGAGGGAATTTCTGGTACTGCCGTTGTGTGACATAGTACGCACACTTTAACATTTATCACACTTTTGATTTTTTGTATATTTGTATGTTTTTATTTTCACTTGAAAATTTTGAGTTTATTCTTCCAACGGGTGATTCACTGAAACTAAGGGCTAGCAGCAGGTGTGTGATCACGCTTGAAAAGGTGCGAGTCTCCATGCCAACGATTAACCAACGCAAATCTTTACGAATCGTTGGGTATTTAATCATTGTTAAATCAATAGGAGGGTTAATGTGGTGATGAGCTTGGTCTTTTAACAGCGTGGAGGGTGGTCGTGGTGGTGTGACAGAAATAGAGCAGGTTCTTGAGCTTTTTAACTACTGAGGGGTATAAGGTGTAGAGGGATTTTTGAAAGGTAAAATGAAAGTTAAATAGACTGTTATTAATATATTTTTTATGCTGTCGTGTTACGCGTGCAAGAGGTTTTCAGAAAGGGGTTGAAACTTTATTACGAACTTCATATACCTATTAAAATTTATCTATGGCTATCAAAGACGAATTCTTCAAATGTTGAAACCTTTAAAATGTTGTTTGATGTGCTTCAAGAAATTCAGTTTGTAGTTATAGTAGAGAGCAGTTAACCAGATGTTGAGGAATAAACGTGCTTTCAAGGTGTCATGGTGGCATTCGGATCACCCTATGATCAGTGATCAGTTGATCACATACAAGATTTAAATGTTAATCACTGTAGAATTCCAGTCACTAATTGTTGAGTACATATGTCAAATATTGATTCCACATTGATCAAAATCTTTTTGGTCCTTGGAGCAGTATATGAATTAAATTGTTTTCATTGATTCATCAATTTTTTGAATTTACGAACCGGATTGCATAGTGAATATATTTTTTATTCTTCGAGCCGGATCGTAGAATTTCTTAGGGATGGCAACGCAGACAAAATTGTTCACTAAGAATTAAAGCAATAAAACTGGAAGTTGTTTTCAGAAAAGTTCCAAAACTTTTTTGTCTCGAAAATTTTTTGTATTCGGGTTTACTTAAAAATGTATTTTTTTTTGTTCATTTGCAGATTCTTTAAATTTGTTTTATGCGAAGCGATAATATTACTTTGTTGGTTGCCTATATTAACACACTGTATTTCTGTTCTATAAGTTTCTATTTTTGATTAAAATAAAAATAACATTCTATAATAAAATTATTCTATACTAAACAAATTATGATCATCAACATGTTTGCATATAACACTAAAATCCATTGTGGTGCCGAAAATGTCATAAATGAGTAAGATATTAGAGTACATTCATATATCTACCACTTAGTTCCCTCGTGGTAGTGAAAGTTTTCAGAATTTATACAATTTTTGTTAGGGTGGAAGTAGTTTATAGTTTACACCACAATATACCGTGTGATCGAAAATAAAAGGAATTAGAGTTGAATGTGGAATTTGTTGTATAGGTGTATAGACCCCATTGCGTAACTGATACGTCATAATTGTATATAATGTGCCTAATTAAAAACAATAAAAATTAAAAACGTGCAGCAGAATTAACTGAAACTACGTTGCCTTGTCTATCTCTTGTACTTTCGATAATCAAAAATATTTTGTGCTTCATAAAAAACATAATTTCCAGAAATTTGAAATATCTAATCACTTTTTCTCATTTGGTGTTTTAAATTTCTGCAAAAAATGTTTTTATTGAAGTCAAGGCAGGTCAGGTCAGGTCATCTAAAGCTTGACCGGCAACGTCAAAACTAATTCATTTAATTTTCGATAACACAGTATTGCTTAGCACTTAACACTCATAGGCGTCGCACTGGGGAGGTTATGGGTTTATTTCGTAACAATAATAAATATATCATCAGAAAAATGAGTTGAAAACATTGTGAAGGAAAAGGAAAGCAATCTTCTAATGTTATTTAAAGAGAACTTCCCGCGGCCGTGAAGTACAGTACAACAAATTTTGCGAATTTTATTTTTTTTTATGATAATCCCTATAAGTTATGTATGTAATCCTAAAATAAAGGTAAAGAAGGCGTAGGTTTCAAGCCAGTGTTTGGACTACAAAATTTCGTAATGACGTCACCAACATTTTTGCAAGAACACGGTACTTCCAAATATTTGGAAAAATCGAGTGAGCCGTTCCTGATATAATTAATAAAATAAACTGAGTTATTCTTTAATTTTTGATAAATCACAAGTATAAACTCATCATATTTTGCACATTTTAGATAGGGTTTATTTAGCCAAATTTCAAGATGACGTCATCAATTTTTGAAGGAGATAAAAAGTTGCCATATTTACGATAACGTTGAAATGTTTGCAAGATTTCAAAGCGTTCGATTTTTCGGTTTCAAATTAAATCGCAGAATGGTGTTACACAGTTTAGTTTTTTTTTTCAAAAGTCTGGACGTCTAGGGTAAAAACTCAACACGGATTCATAAACCACATGTGTAGGAGTATTCTATGTTATAAAATTTAAAAGATATTTCCTATATACAACTTTGAGGTAGCGTCATCACATTGTTTGTGGGGATGATTAGACAATGTTTGGTTAGCGTTTTACCGTCTACACAATATTTATAAAACGCACGTAAAATTTGACAACAATGGGAGATTATCTGTCAAATCAAATTCGACCCAGACGCCGGTCAGACAGATGAGGCAGGCAGACAGACGGGAACGGGAGACCCATCTCTTTTCATTTAATAGGGATCATGAAACGTCAAGAAAATACGAAAGTATCCGTTCATCCGATGGACCCTATTGCCGTACTTACTTAGCTTATACTGGAGAAGTAAAAATTAAAGCCGTAGAGAAAATGTTTCCTGAAAACGTTAAATTATGTCGGGTGAAACACAGATGAAATTTAAACATTCCAAACCTATTATCACTAAGTTATTATTACTACAACTAAGTAGCAAAATTCAACATTCAATTTTGTTAGTTATAAAAAGTATAAAAAGTATAAAATTCTATTAAAAAGTGGCAAGTATAGCATAAAAGTAGAAATTTTGCTACTTTGTGTTTATTTATTAGTCTCTTTATGATAAAATGATGACCTCATCACAAAAAAATATTAAGTAAGAAAATACGTATTGGTTGTGCTTCAAAGCTAAAAAAATTACATGCTAATAATTTTTGCTTTTTTGTAATATACATAGCTTTTGACATTTGCCTCACAAGAAATTAGGTTAAAATTTGAAAAATTTTATGGTTTTTCAACTTCTTGCCAGGTAACAAAATAATTTTTATTATTTTGTAGAAATACAGTTTCCGACAAAAAATTTCAAACATCACTTTTCTGTCATATCAAAAATTTTAATGTAGTCTATGCTTTATTGTCATTATTTCGGACAGCTGGAATGTCAATCTTTCAAAATTCCAGCTTACGCTACAGCTACATTCATGTAAGTGTCAAATGTAAAAGTTAAAAATGACTGTCAAATATTTAAAGGTTGTTTTACACTATCTGACGACTGAATGACATTGACGTCTGAAATTTTTTGGCGGCAACTGTACGTTCGCGGCAAGAAAATTTTGGACGTCAGTGTCATTCCTCTGTCACAAAGTGTGAAACACCTTTAAGTATTGTAATAACCTTATTTTTTAGTTTTGTCATTTTTGACGCTGGATGCGACGTGACAAATCTTTTAAACTTCAAATATCAAAGTGATAAAGCATGGACTACATCAAAATTTTCAAAATGACAGGAAAATGAAAAGATTTTCTGGTCGCGACTGTATATACAGTGTGGAATAAATTCAATAATTTCAAAACTTATGGTATTTGTCGAAAAAGCTCAATTTGTATGTACAATTACGCTCTTTTTACGTTTCTTCACTTCTTCATCCACTTTTGAGCCTCTCACATCACAATTATTTTTTTCAATGTTGGATAGTACTCTCACGGTTTTTTAAACAAATCTTATGTATTTTTCTCTTCCATGGTTTTAGAAATATTCACATTTTATTTAACCAGAGAATACAAACAATCGTATAAAAATTTCTTATACCAGGTGTCTGGAAAATGGCGGATTAACTCTCCGCTACGTTCGTGACAAGCAACTGGTGAGTCTGGGAAAAATATTTAAAAAATCCACATTTAATTACCATTTCAGTTAGAATGTATAAAGTTGTTGTGTTCTTTTTCTAATAATAATTTGATAAAATTCCATTTGACAACAACGTTTACCCGATATAAAGCAAAAATTGAGTAAGCAGTTAAAAATTGTCAAAGTTTTCAATACTTTCCGTTTAAAATGTTCGCAGTTAATTTTAGGTCCCCTGATGTTTTATTTTTGAATAAATTTTAAGGAATCTGGTATTTTGTTGCTGGATGAACTTAAAAAATCTTTTGAGTTTTTACTCCTTTATTTTTTACGAATTTCAAGAAGTCTTGAGTGCCTGAGTGTTCTTTTTTTAATTCGGGAGACTCTTGAGAACCTATGGTGTATTATTTTGGGAGCCCATGGAGATTTTTTTTGTAAATTATTTAAAACAATTTTGGAGGCCTTTGGTGTTTTTGGAAAATTTTGACGTGACCTGTTTTTGAGTTAATTTTGGGACCCCATTTAGGTATTTCTATTTGGAAAGAATCTGAAAGTGCTCTTTGGTCTCTAGTGCCTTTTCTTATAATAATTTAATTAAATTTCTTAGAGGATACGTCATTTGCTAAAATCAGTCTTATCTTAGCAGATACTAAGCCGGTCAACCTCTATTTTTTTATAGAATACGTCATTTGCCAAAATCAGTCCTAACAGGTACTAGCTCCACTCACCCGCCCTCTCTTTTCTTAGAGGGTATGTCATTTGCCAACATCGGTCTTATTTTATCAGATACTAGCCCCACCCACCCACCCTCTCCTTTTTCAGAGGATATCTCATTTGCTAAAATCACTCTTGTCTTAGTAGGTATACTAGACGCAAACGTTTAGTGGGTTCATGGCTTTGACGTTTAAAGTACTTTACAGTACTTCATAAAACTTAGCAAATGCAAACCATGCCACGTGTCATGGACGGCCTAGAGAGTGCTGCCCTGTGTTTTTACCAGAAAAAGTCTTTTCAGGTAGGTTATCAGTAAGCGGGTGTACGACATCCGACTGTGATGGCCTACTTAATTATAATGGGAGTTAAATTGGTATGAAGCCATAAACGCACTAAATGTTTGCGTCTAGTATACTAGCTCCGCCCACCCGCCCTCTCTTTTTTCAGAGGATATCTCATTTGCCAAAATCACTCTTATCTTAGTAGGTATACTAGAGGCAAATATTTAGTGCGTTTATGGTTTTGATTTTTTTATTAATTTTTGTGACTCCCGAAACCTCCGTACAAAACGTACTGAAGAGTTAATCTGCCATTTTCCAGACAACCGGTATAATAAACAAACTGATGATTCTTTACTGATTATGAATTTTGTTTGTTGTTTTATCAAGAATCATATAGAAATCATTAAGAAATCTTGTTTTATCAAGATTTTCGTAACTTTTTTTTTAATTGTTTAAACTATTGGAGCGTTTAAATGTAATAATTGTAAGTACAACATAAGCAATATAGTATATTATACTTGAAAGAATTCATATGGCGTCACAGTTCGAAACTGAATGACGTCACAACTAGATACAACAACTTACAAAGAGCACAAATAGAAATACAAATTGTCTTGTTTCAACGTTTTAAAGAAATGCAATTAATTTTGACCATAGTAAGTTTATTCTATAAGTAGTTTCCAAACCATACAGAAACCACATACAGTTTCAAATTTACTTTTATCTTATAATAATAAACGTAAGTTGTAAAACTTTGAACGTTTGTCTTTATAAACGAGTCAACAATAGTTAATTCCTGTCACAGAATTATTTTATTTATTTTAAGAATAAATTAGCCAGCTGGAAACACCTATTTTAATTTAGTCCAGATTTAAAATAAATATCAACAAAATTTGCCACTGTGAAGTACCGACGAGAGAGCAATAAAAAACATGATCAAGTATAGCCACGGATTTTCGATCATTTGTCTTTGATAGAATTTCCGTCTTGTCAGATTATTGTCAATTTGAAAGTTTGACTTTAAAAACAATGTTATTTCCCGATCGAGTAAAACACAGTTTCAGCTACATAAATTCTGTATTTCATAATATTTCAGTTTACATAGAACGGGTTAATGAATTAATCAGATCTGAAACCAAGTCTTACAGATAGTCATATTATCTACAAAGTGAGAGATTGAAGTTTATAATAAGAAGGCACCGCTGAAAGAAGACGGGGAATTCAATACAATCGCGTAAAACAGCCTGAAATATCTCATAATTGTACAAATCTTTTTTAACCTTGTCCGCGGAATTATTCAGTATACAAAAAACCTTGTGGAGCCTCTTCACAGACAACGTTAAAACGCACACAACAAAAGACGGATCTGTGACACAAAAATTGCGATATCAAAACAACCATCGAACAAATAATACTGTCACACTAAATCTGGATGAATTTATTATCGTATAAATACTATTTACAAACTAAACCACTTATTGCTAAACATCTGGAACATTGCAAGGTACATAAAAAACGTTGTAAACCCAATATAAACTATAAGAGAGGAGTTATTTTTTAGGTACAACACTAATGCAGTAATGGTATCGGTACCCGCAGTTTATATTAGTGCATCCTGCCGATTTCTCGTTAACTAGACACCATTCATCCCTCCCTAAATATACAGAAACATCTAAAATGTTTATTAATTAGGCAACAACGCTTGATTTTTTTCACTATACACTTAACACGCACCGAAATACTGGTGCGCTCATTTGACTTAGTCATAGAGTATTTGTTACTTAAATAATCAGTCATTTAATCTTAGTACTAGCAAATCTACCAGCGCCCTATTTAAGGAAACTAGAACTACGCTTGGTGCGACAATATGATGCGAGTACATTATTGCAAAAATACAAAAACAGAATTGACTCGAGTGGAACTTCATTAGCAAAATATCGAATGGCTCCATCTTGGGAGATGGCTATCTTATTATGCAGGTTCGGGACGGTTTTTGGCCCATTGCGGTCATTCTGTGCCACAGGCCTATATCTTGATTAGGTAAAACCGTCCACACGATTAAGTATCAAGCTGATTAGAACAGATTGTCTCGAAGTCTTGACGAAAAGAAACACTGTTGATCGATATTGGAAAACACTTTAGACGTTTCGTGAATTGTGCAGGAATAAATGGAATGTATGGTGAGGCCATTTCGGTTGAAGCTAAAGCTCAAGACATTTTGATATAGTTTTGGCATAAGTACAAAAGTTTAAAGCAAAGAGTTTGAAAGATTAAACCAATCGGCAAATGGGAAGCCAGACAGTCACGATAAAGCTGCAAACAATTTCGTTCCAAATTTTCTTGAAATGTTTTGTCATTTTGTATTTTACAAGATAAATAGTGTGCCGGTTTTACGGAAAGTTGTTATTATGGTGCGTAACTTTCAAACGGAACACCCTGTATATTTGAAAATTATTTTAAATTGTGGCCCACCGGGTTCTATCAAACTGCGATAAAGAATTTTTTAAAAAACAAAAACATCAGTGTGTGTGAAATAAAGATGTAGTCATTAAAACTAACAACAAAAGTAAAAATAAATCATACAACTTTTATTAATTAACAACAGGATGTTTTATTAAAGAAATAATGACAGCTTTATATATTGATGAAGGAAGCTATCAAATGAATGGTTAACGTTTTTTGAACAAATTACGATTGGAACATGCAAAGCAGCAGTTATAGGAAAGTTACATAATTGTGTGGAATTAAATACACGAACAGTTTTGAAATATTTCCTTAATTTAGAATTACCTTTATATAATTTGAAATCCGTCATTTTCTAACATTTTCAAAGTAGCTTTACTAAATTTATAATGTAATATATTTAAGAAATACTTGGCTAATGTTTGCCTACAAAATGTAGAAGTCAATTAGGTGCTTCACTTATCTTAAAATCTTCAATTGTTTTATGTTTAAAATTTATACCTGAAATGACGCGTAATTTGTAAGTTGTGCTTCCTTTCAGAAACATGTATGCATACATATTAGGATAACAACAATGTCTAACATTGGTCAAAATGTTGATATTTTGACATCATAATTATTAATGTTTGACTTATTAAAACCAAAAATTTGTGTTTATTGTCTATGTGGTTCTAAAGATAATATTTTTCAATTTTAATAATTTTCAAATCACTTGAAATGGTTGTAAATGTAATACTTCTTTATAGCAATGGATGCTTAAACAGTTCGCTGAGTATGGGGTGTGCGATTACATTTGTACTTCTTGTTTTTAATTAAATATATTTTGGCACTGTTGCCATTGGTACTCCCATTAAATTACAAGTCCTTTTCAACTTATACAATATAATAAACTGACGGGCAGTGACTTCCTCTACATTGTTTAGGATCAAGAGAAAAATTATTTAGATTTTCTGGAAGGGAAAACACTAGAGTATAGTCTGCCGCCAATGGATAAAGAACGTGATGTATAGTAGTGCAAATCAGTTATAAAGTAAGGTGCACGGAAATTGAGTGCAGTAAAATAAAATAACAAAATTCGAGTTTTATAAGATCAACGTGAAGATTTGGACTTAAAAGCTAGATAGTTGAGGCACGTAGCAAGAATGCCGGTGAGTAAAATCGTCAAAATGGTGTTAGTAAAGGGTAAAGGTTGAGAAAGAAAGGGTTAGTAGAATTGGTTTAAATATAATACGTGCCTATATATTTTTTGTACTGTGATCTTGTAAAACGTGAAAATTACGAGGTAGATAGAGTGGTAACTTTTACTCTTAGAAATACTGAATTAATTAAAAAAAAAAAAAAACAAATGTTGTTTCCATTTCTAGGTACTATCTAGTAGAATATTTACAAAGAAAAATTAAAGTTGAATTGAACTTTGGACATCTTTTGTTACAACTCTTCTAAATTTATAGATACTATTTTTTTTATTAAAAATAAATAATATTTGTAGTTGGATTAATTAGACCGGCAATATGTGCACTAAAAGAACTTGTTTACAGAAATATTTAGTGATTTTTTGGAACGATAACAAAATACCGGCTGTATCCGAAAATATATAAAATATTCGCAAATTCCGCCTAAATTTTTATTGAATTGTTATTTTTGCAAAATGGACACTTTGTACTTAATAATTAAATTCGGATGTTTAGAAGCTTAATCTTAGTAAGAGATATATATCAGGTTAGTACTACAAATATTTGAAGTTTTTTAACCTCTTTCAATGTTTTCGATTGTTTTAATCGTCAAAGATTAATTATTATTCAAGCTTGAATTACATGGCATCAAAGAGAACTTTTTGTGACTTAAGTTGGATCTGAAAAGTTGGTTTATTGGTAAAACAATTCGGGCGTGTTTATGAATCAACAATGTTAGCTATGATAACATATTCACACGTGCCTTGATTAGGTAATATAGATCATGGATGTTATCATAATCTGATACACATTGCATAAAACAACAAACCCAAAAATAGCAAAAATATTGTGAAACATTACGCAAATTTTTCTACCATTGAGGCGCCTTTAGAGCCCTGTTATATATGTGTTTTCATTTATGCGTAATCGTTATCGTTTACACGAAATTCACAAAAAAGGAAATTAATAATTTTGGAAAAACACAAAAAAATTAGAAGAGAGGAAAATTTGTCCTCAACTTCTGGAAAAATTAAGGATGCTTTCAAATGTTTTTACAGTTATAACGAGGTTAGGTGTGTAGTTATGTATAGCTACATTTCATCATGTGTGCCCCTTTTTTGTTATCTGATTGTAACTTCAACTAAGTGTATTTTTAGATTGTGACATTTTAATGTCTGTTTTGTAACTTAGACTCATTTATGAGAATAAATAGGCGCAGCAGCCATTTAGTGCCACATCAAGGTCAAATCTATTTATTTAGTTATTTAAACTTCGTAATTATGTTGGTTCTAGTGTTATTATTAATTTGACAATATTTTCTATTATTACGAAATAGCAATATGCTTAGGCTAGATCAAACATTCAGATGAATAATTTAAAATAAAAAAAAAAAATAGATGGTGTAGGTTAGGTAGCAAAAAATTTTGGCTAGAAGGAGGAGTAGAAACGCCTGTACAATTTAAATTCTACAAAGAGAAACAATGATTTAGGAACAAATAAATCTATTTGTCTTCCCAATAAAGAACATTATATAGTAGATTTTTTGGAAATATTAATTCTAATTTTTAGTGTAACAATATTAATCATCAACTTCTCGCACTTCAAATGACAAACTTTTGATGGCTGTTCTTTTTACAACTTTTAGCTTTCTGAAATGGGTTGCGATGACATATTTAGACGAAAGAATACTTAAAAATAAATTACATTGTGTGATTTAATGGAATTTGAATATTGCTAATTATGAGAAACATTTTTTACGCCGTTTGGTAGAACTTACTTAGGACTAAAATTTAAAATGATTTGAAAAGTTACGTACCATTTTTTAAATACAATATCCTATATATTCCTCAATTCCGCAATATTTAGAGATGACGGTCTGAATTATGCACAAAAAATCAATAAAAAAATTTTAAATGACACCTATACATATTTTATAAATTTTTCGAGGTTTATTTTGATACTAAGTTTGTTGATAAATTTGCAAATATCTGGAAAACTGTCGATAAAAATATCCTCATATCTGACATTTCTTTGCTTTTGTCATAAGTAATCTAAATCTGTAAACATATACAGGGCGTTCGTTTTAAAAAAGTACAACCTTGGTGATTAACGTTTAAGAAGTATTCCTTTAGTTATGTTTGGTAATTCTTTTAGACTGCACCGTTACAGACCGTTGGGACACCCGGTATAATATACAAAATCTTACAAATTCTTGTGATCAAGATATTCTATCACACAATTATTAAAATTCCTTTTATAGATTTTGGAGCTTTTATTTAGTAAGTAGTTTACGTATTGTAGTCAAGATTACATCGAAGTTATTTAATAGCTTGTTTATAAGACAATTTTGTAAGTTTAAAAATTTGTAGGAACAAGTTATATCATATTTCAGGGCCCAGTTTAACCATGCAAAATACCGACCTGATCATTTTGAGACCTAGTTTAACATCTTTATTAAATCTGTAATCGTCATAGGGCACACAATGGTAGTTGGTATTGCTTAGCATTGCTTATTCTTAAATGTAGAATTTTAGTAGGTCATTTTGGATTTTGTACATAGAATAAACTATCATTGTCAATTGTCATTATGTCCCATAGACATGAAAAATTATTTCAGAATGTTAATTTTAATATCTTCCAAAGAAAAATGAATCGAGGTAAAAGTTACATACCTTCAGAATTTTAGAGAGTCTATGTAACGTAAAGGTTTGCAGCTTTGTAATAATCATCCAGTCTAGCCAATCCGGAGTTAAAAAGTAGGCAACCGTACATATCTTGGAAATAAGGATGCAATTATTTATTTCATTGAACATCGTAACCGTGACCCTAACAAAAAATTTGTAAGCAGGATTTTTGTAGATCATATAAATATCTACAATTTTTATTAATAACTCTTCAGTACAATATTAATAATAGAAAAGTTATGACTAGAAAAATGAAACACCACTAAAATCCGCCCTTTCAAACTGGTTTGTAACACAAGTTTGTAATCAAATAGTAAATTCGTCTTCTTTTTTAGAATTCAAATTACCTGAGTTATCTCAACTTGAAAATTTTCGTCCCTAGTTTTTTAGGTTATCAATAAAAGTCGTAGATAATGCTATCATCTACAAAAATGCTTGTTACAGTTCTTTTGTCACAAGTAAATGTTACAGAGATAAACCAAAAAAATTACTGCACCCCATTTGAATATCGAGTCCCCACAAATCAATTTTACACTGCCTACTCAAAGTTCACGGTTTCGTGCGGGATTGACTGTACTACAATCGCTAATGGCAGTCCAACAATTTTGCCGATTGACCTAAAAGATTGACATATATATACACTTTAAACCACCTTTAACTCATCCCCATACATTCCCTTGACCCCTTCTAAGAAAAAAATCTCATTTTCTCATTTCAACAATAGTAACCAATTCAACCGGTAAACTAGCACCTATTTAGTCTAAAGTGAAAATATCAATATACTCTAACAAATAACAAATTAGGTACAAATATACGCGCGATTCAACAACACACAACAGTCCAGCGTCGTCCGTCACGGATGCGTATAACTAGAAGCGTACGAAGATCTACGTCTAGGCGTTGGACTCCTTCAGGTCTTGCAGCCTCGCCAGCTGGTGGGGCTCCAGCTCGTCGGGTATGCTCGCCCTGCCGCCAACCACCTGCTTGGGCTCGGCGTCTGGGGGCGGCGGCGGCGCCACGTGGCTCACCGAGTTCTCGGCCGTGCTGGGGCCGGTCGTCTCCCCGTCGCTGCCCGTGCTGCTGCTGACCACGAAGGGCGTCGAGTCGCCGCCCTGGCCGTCCGCGTCGTCGGGGTCGTCCGCGGGTGCCGGCGGCGGCGGTGGTGGCGGCACCGAGGGCTCCTCGGCCGCCTCTTCCTCGTCCTCTTCGGGGATGGTCGTGTCGATCTCTTCGTCGCGGTGGTTCACGGGCGGCTCTTCGGGCGGAGGGAATGGGTGTTCCGGTTCTTCCATCATTGGTGTTGCTGCTGTTATCACGATCTGGGCCACGCCGAGGCTAAAGTCGTCTGACTTGGGAGCGGGGGGAGCGCCTGATTGGTCATCCTGCGCGAAAAAAGGGTGATGAGTGTGATTTGGTGGTGGAGGGTTACAGGGATAGGACTGATAGAGATAGAAACAAGGGCCGAAGACATACCTCGTCAACGACTTCGACGCTTGGGACATCGATCGCTGCATGGAAATGTATGAGACAGAATGAGTTCACTACGCATAATAGAAACTGGGAGGTGGTATAGGCGTTTGGGGTATTTAAAAAGAATGTCAATGTTGGGAGGAATAGCCCGTTATGTACACGGGGGAAAACACCCGTATAATTTTAACGTACCTTTGTATTTATAACTTCCGGTATCCATATTTTGGACAAAAATACACCAACGGAATTTTTTTCTGTATTATCTATTTCTGTTTCAAACAAGTATTGTGTTTGCTTCTGTTGGTGGTATCACACAGTTTAATCAGTTGAAGTGAATAGCAATGGAACAAATGAAGAGGATTTGAATTATTTCAAACTAAATTTCACTCTAAATCAATATAGCTGGATGTTAAACCTTATTGCTAAGTAACATAAGGGCCAGTTGTTGTGTGTATTCACAAGAAAAACTGAAATGCTCCATTGTTGCTTTGGGTTTGGTATATTTCCTTAAAAATTATTCTCGCCTTAAATTATAGACTAGTTTTGAAACTTTATAAATTTCGAGCAATTTTTTCTCTAAGAAAATGTATTGTAAGAGTACTACACGACTGAAAAAAATCTCTACTCTATCAGATCAATGGTGTTATAGAAAAAAGTTAGAGCCCATAACAGAAGAGTTTGAAAATGTCACAACTTCAGACTTCTATGGGCTGCGGATCGAAAGTGAAGCATAAAAAAATATCAATGACGACGGTTTTTCAGATTGGTTACCTAAAAGATCGTCAATTTTTTTCGTCAAAATTAAAAATCATGCGCCGCACTCTTGTATTCAAATTTGATGTTTTCATATGGAACGACCCTATAACCAGTTACTAAATATACAGGACATTTAATGAAAGTGGTCCAAGTTATGGACTAGAGAGATAAATTTCTATTAAAAATAATTTTAATTTTGCTAACTTTGAACCAAAGAATGTAGGTAGAGTTCCCTTACAATTTGTTTTGACTTAATTTTTAAAAGCGTGTCAGGGTAAGTTCTGATGATAGCAGTGCACTCTAGCGTACTCACTTGGAACTTCCTCCTCAAATTGACTCCCGTATTGTTGGTGTTGGACCCGGGATAGCACCATAGAAAAGCCTCCCTCTCCCGGTGGCACATCGGTTTGTGTCTTAGGTACAGGTGGTGGCTGTTGCGGTTGTTCCACCGAGGGCGTAGGTTGGGTGATTATCACCTATGTCCCCAACACCAGGAGATATTTAACTATGAGTAAAACTAAAATCAACGCTTACTTGTGCCCCCATTAAAAAATCTGGAACCTCCGGTGGTGTAAAAACTGGGGGTGCGGACTGAGGCGGTGTTTCGTCCCACTGGTTCGTCAATGGTTCCCCATACTCGTCGCACTCCTCTACTACTAAGGAAGGGAAATTGCCGACCCGACCTTCCAGTTCTCCTTTCCACCAGCCGTCGTCGACGCTGTGGGCGCATTTGCTTAGTACTTTGATGATCTGGCCTTCTTCGAAGGTTAGTTCTTCGTCGCCTTCACCGTCGTAGTCGTACAGAGCGCAGCAGTACATTGCTGGGGGCGATTCGGGTACTTTTGGTTGCTAAAATGTAATTTTAAATGAGAGAAATTAGAAAAATAGTCTGAATCTAATGACGTCACATAAATATATTTTATACGCATGGAGTTATGTTCAGGTTCGTGTTTTTAATTTATATTAAAAGGTTAATAGCAACAGAAATAGCACAGATAATTAAATGATAACACAATTATTATTATAAATTGTTTAAATATAATTAATTTAAACGCATAAATGTGAATGTTTGACAATCTACCTCATTCCGATGTCATTAATAATACAACGTTTTGTTGTTAATCACTAACTGTATCTAATATAAACAATTTGAGTTATGCTCGATTGCCCGATAATATGTGTCAACAAACAAGTGTTTTAAATTTGGTTTAATAGTAAATATTTCATTCATTGTGGAAATATCGACACTACTTGTTTAATAATATACAGGATGTTTCATGTCAGATGATCGACGATTATAAATTTTTATCAATCTATTGTTGTAGGAAATAGATTTTAGGGTGGTAGTTCAAGAGATTCTGAATACAATTACCAACTTTAGATATATTTGTTAGTAGTAACAAATACGTAGGGATTCACTGAACTGAAACTAGTAAATGCGACATTAAACAATCATTAATTTTGAAAAGAAAATTTCTTTCAATTTATCACTGTGTACTGTAAATATTACAGCTACTTGTATAGTTGTAGTAATGTTTTAGACAAAATCTTCAACGTGTACAGAATTCTTTAATTTTTTTAATAATTTCACAATAGAATTTCAGAAAAAATTATTGTATGGAATTTTGATTCAAACCCAGGACTTCCATTCTAAACGGAAAACTATTAATCTGTCACTGAAGACCTAAATCTTGTCTAAATCCTTTATCATTTCCGAGCAACGAAGAGGTTACTGTGAATAATGTTTAAATTGAATTATTATTTATATCCTATTTAATTTAAAATTATTATTAATAGGTTTGCCATGCAAATTTGTATATATGTAACGAACCACAATTCTAGAGTGTGTATACTCTTTCGCTTCCTCCCCTCTAACAATTAGTCCTCGAAAGTTATTTTAATTTGATTTAAAAGCAAGTGTTTCAGTAATACGAAAAATTATACATACAGGGTTTTGACATGATTTAAAAATGGTAGAAAATAATGTTCACTTATGAAAATCCTGTATTTTTAAGTACCGGGTGATTATTAATGACTGAAGTAAATTTTTGGGTTGGTGATTCTGAATTATTGGCAGCAATGTTGGCATCTCGGTACACAGTTGTCAATTTTGACATGAGCGGGCCTAAAAACTAATAAAGAGATGGCAGCCACTGATTTGTTGCCCTAAATTTCATTCATTTCATTCACAATCAGGTGTGCTATCATCAATTTTTAAATATGTTGCCAACCTAACAAAAAATCACATACATAAAATTGGATAAATGAAAAATTTTAAAATCCAATAGTTCAGTGGTTCAATTGTAGAATTTTTAAACAACCTTTTCAGAAATGAAATTTTTCAGTATATATACCCCACTTACACCAATTTCGACCCATTTTGGAGCATTTTCGAAATTTAACTAAATACATTTTCTCGTAGATTTTGCGCCACAGAAGTCACTTATTCGAATACGCAAACAGTTTTTCAGAATCATCCAATGAAATTTTACAAATTTAGAAATCCCAGAAAGTTCAAATTTCATAATGAATATTTCCAAAATAGTGCTCAGTGACCAAAAACAGGCTATATTATTTTTAGAATCAGCACGGCGGGAACTATATCCCTGAATTTTCTGAAAATTTTTAAGCAACTCTTTCAAAAGTCATATCTTAACAAGTACTAGCCCCGCCCACCCACCCTCTATTTTCTTGGAGCGTATGTCCTTTGCCAAATCCAGTCTGATCTTATCACATACTAGCCCCGCCCACCCACCCTCTATTTTCTTAGGGTCTATGTCATTTGCCAAAATCAGTCTGATCTTATCACATAGTAGTACTTTCTAAGATAAGACTGATTTTGGCAAATGACATATCCTCTAAGAAAATAGAGGGTAGGTGGACGGGGCTAGTATTCGATAAGACTAAACTGATCTTCGCACTTTTGACATTTTCGACTATTTTTCAACTATTTCCGAAAATTAGCAAGAAAATTGAGAACATTTTTTCGTAATTTCTAAAAATGTTTTGTCTGAAATAGTTAAAGGACGATCTGACCCAATGGAAAATAGTTCGCCTATAGATAATTTTACGCAGATTACGAATCTAAAATATTTTTGACAATTTGTCTTCAAATAATTGAGAAATGCGAAGAGAGGACTCCAAAAATCCCCAAAATTTCCAAAAAATTTGAAACCGTTCCTAATGGCTTTATTTGAGAGGAAAACATTGCGTTTCTAGTTTCATAGAGTATTAGTTGAAGATTTATCTTATAAAATACTAGCCCCGCCCACCCACCCTCTATTTTCTTAAAGAGTACGTCATTTGCCAAAAATTGTCTATTTTACCAAGTACTAACCCCGCCCACCCGCCCTCTTTCCTTGTAGGATATGTCATTTGCCCAAATCAGACTTATCTTAGCAAGTACTATATTATATATTGAAGTGGCAAAATAAATTATTAAAGAATAATTAAATAATACTTGCTAAGATAATACTGATTTTGCAAATCGCATACCTTCCAAGAAAATAGAGGGCGGGCGGGCGGGGCTAGTACTTGCTAAGATAAGACTGATTTTGACAAATGACATACTTTCCAAGAAAATAGAGGGCGGGTGGGCGGGGTTAGTACTTTCTAAGATAAGATTAATTTTGGCAAATAACATCCTCTAAGAAAATAGTGGGCGGGTGGGCGGGGCTAGTACTTTCTAACAAACGACTAATTTTGGCAAATAACATCCTCTAAGGAAATAGAGGGTGGGTGGGCGGGGCTAGTATTTGATAAGATTAATCTGATCTTCGCACTTTTGATAATTTCGAATATTTTTCAACTATTTCCGAAAATTAGCGAGAAAATTGAGAACATTTTTTCGTAATTTCCAAATTTTTTTTGTCTGAAACAGTTAAAAGACGATCTGACCAAATGGAAAATAGTTCGCTTATAGATAATTTTACGCAGATTACGAATCTAAAATATTTTTGACGATTTTTCTTCAAATAACTGAGAAATGCGAAGAAAAGACTCCAAAAATCCCCAAAATTTCCAAAAAATTTTAAACCGCTCCAAATGGCTTTTTTTGAGAGGAAATCATTGCGTTTCTAGTTTCATAGAATATTAGTTGAAAATTTATCTTATAAAATACTAGTCCCGCCCACCTACCCTCTATTTTCTTAAAGAGTACGTCATTTGCCACAAATTGTCTTATTTTACCAAGTACTAACCCCGCCCACCCGCCCTCTCTTTCCTTGTAGGATATGTCATTTGCCAAAATCACTCTTATCTTAGCAAGTACTACATTATATACTGAAGTGGCAAAATAATTTATTAAAGAATAATTAAATAGTACTTGATAAAATAATACTGATTTTGGCAAATCGCATACCTTCCAAGAAAATAGAGGGCGGGTGGGCGGGGCTAGTACTTGCTAAGATAAGACTGATTTTGGCAAATGACATACTTTCCAAGAAAACAGAGGGCGGGTGGGCGGGGCTAGTACTTTCTAACAAAAGACTAATTTTGGCAAATAACATCCTCTAAGGCTAAGGAAATAGAGGGTGGGTGGGCGGGGCTAGTATTTGATAAGATTAAACTGATCTTCGCACTTTTGACATTTTCCACTATTCTTCAACTATTTCCGAAAGCTAGCGAGAATTAAAACAGTTTAATCGATTCAAATTTTGTAATAAAATACTTTAACTTTCTACACTTCCTGTAGAACGCATGAAAAAATGACATTTGGTATCAATGTTCGTGATGTCATTTTGGAATTTAACAGTGCAATTTGGTCTATCTGTCAAATTTGGAAAGCTGAATTATAGTTAATGGCTAACTGAAAAAATGTGTTTAAATGAAATAATGCAGTTCTTCAGGTACAATATTTATCTTCTAACAATCGTGTATTAATATTAACATCGTGTAAAGTTAGTGTTAACTCAAGAAGAAAACTTTAATTATTTCGATAGTTACTTCGACCTGTTTGGCAGTATTCTGCTTCATTTATTTCACTCATATGAATACGGAATGTAGTGCCTCTAACTTTAACATAACATTTCAGATGTTGAACCGTCATTAGTGCTTCAGCCAGTAAATATTTTAAAAAGGTAAATAATGAAAACGGAAAAAACTCTTTAACAAATGAGTGAGTGATCTTGTAGACTGTGTTCTGCAAAACTCTTGCATTATATATTTAATGTAATATTTAAAACCAGGATATTTCCGGACGCTCGAAAGAAGGCATCGATTTGTTCGACTTTCAAGAAAGGCAATTCGCGTGAAATTGCAAATGACAGGAAAACTAAACAATATGTAATTCCCCATGTACATAAACAATATGTTTTTAAGGTCATCAACAACATACAGTTTTGAAATGTTACTAGACCAACTGCTGACATTTATAAGAATCCAATCTAGTTCTTCTACTGTTACTTTTATTTTATTATAATAGCGAACGTTCATATCGAAAAGTTTTATTCGCCGATGATTTCAAACTAGTCCAAGTTGTAAATTCTTTTATGACTGTGACATTTTTCAAAATAACCTAAGAACTATCGGCAAGTGGCTAAAAAATCTGCTTTTTGTTAACCTTGCTAAAAAAGTTTTGTAGAAAGTTTTCCCATGTATGATCACTCCGAATCTCTTCAAAGGTCATTTTAAAATTTTTTCCCATTTTGTTTTGTGTCCCTTAAGCGAGAAGAATTATTATTACACTAAGATTCTGCTCAATTCAACTAATAATAATAATACTGATTATAATTACGCGCCTTACGAACGTTATGAGAAAATGATTTGGTGTCCTAAACTTCATTTTAACAATCAGGTATGTCATCATAAAATTTTAAATATGTTGCCAACACCTGACTAAAAAATCACAGTTATTAATAATTTTTTTGTCAGATTGGAAACCTATTTAAAATTGTGTGATACCATATCTCATTGTCAAAGTGATATTTATGACGGTTGCCATCATTTCAACCAATCAGCACGTTTATCAGCCGTCCTTATGTCAAAACTGACAACTTTGAACTGACGTACTAGCATGGATGCCAACACAAAAATTTGCTTCTATCATTAATAGTTTGTGCAAATTTCGGTCGTGTCGCTTAGTACCTTTTTGGTTAACATATTATTATTTGATACCAATTGAGCTAAACTGTTTTAATGTAGTGTTTTATTAGACAACGAAAAATCGTATTGGGGATTTATTACGAGTTTAGAATCTGATACTCAATCATGCGACGTCTAGGACACCTGTACTGATCCGTTTAAATCAGAAAAAAATATTATGACATCTCAATAAACATTTCACAATAAAAACGTTTATCGAAAATCTAGCAACACAGTCATACTCAAATCGGAAGAAAATAATTCAATTTAACGAGACACGAAATGGTGGATGCGCCGGGCGAGCACTCACCAAGGATATCACAGACACCTGCTCTGGCGACTGGTTTGTCTCCGAGGTTGTCACTTGCACATCCTCTTCGTTGTCTACGGTGTAATCGACCGAAGAGAAAGAAATTTGATTGACTAATCCTGGCGTCGACGCTGTCTGTTCTCTCTCCACGTCTAGGTAATTATGGGGTACGTATCCTTCTTCGCCCTTGTAATTCCTTGCTCTCAACCACCCGTCGCCGTCACCTTCACCTACCACTTCTAACTGTTCGTTTTCTACAATTGTCAGTTCGTCTGGATTTTGTGCCTGCATAAAAATCTTAGTCGTAAACAGATCACACACGTGTAAACCTACCGTATATGAGTAGAGAGCTGTACATTTGAGAAGAGGTACGGAAGGAGTAGATTCTTGGCGCATGATGGGTTCTGGTTCTGAGGAGTCTTCGGTCCCCCAGTCTACTTGAGTCGGATCGTCCCAGCCGGCGGTCAGTTGTTCGATTCGTTGGCGTTCTTGTTCAAGCATGGCTAACAAATCATATTACGTGATAACAACAAGTAAAAATTATGCAAATGGGGAAAAAGAAATAAAAGCTGGAGATTTTAACGATGCAAAACGTGAATTTAGTTGGTAGCTAATACCAGGCGAATGGTCCCAGTGGGGCAGTCGAGATAATAAAGATTACGCGCTCTGTTGAGTACGGAGTTGCAAAGTGTTTATGTGAGTTTAATTAGCTGATATTACAAGAATTAGCTGTTAAAACATACAGAATACTCAAGCAAGTTTTTCCAGCCGCTTTGTTAACAAAGCACACAATTCTTTGGGCCATAAAATTTTCAGTAGCTGCCGCAAGCGGAAAATGCAAGCTTATACAATTCGAGACGAAAATATATTTTGATATTCAATGTGATGATTAAGCAACGCAACAGTTGTAATGAAAACATTATGCGCAAAGATAATGGTACCACCTAATTTACTTAATGAAGTTTGTATTAATTAGACTACCTAAAATTGGTTGTCTTTGCTTAATTACGCGATCTAATTAAAAGCCATAAATTATTTACATTGAGACACATTAACCAAAGAATATCAAAATTATTCGAGCAAAAACGCCTAATATGATTTTTAAAATTTGACATACGAGATGACCTTGGAAAGAAAATATGTGAAAGACTTAGGGAGCAGTTTAATTACTTTTTTGTAATAATATATGTAATATACAACGTGTTAACAAGTAATATTTGAGTTGGCAATAGAATTAACCAATTCTGATAGAATTTTCTTGGTGTGCTATTGCCAAACCTGATTGCACTTTTAAGTGTTTAAAAAAGCTCGGTTATCATATTTTGATAATATTAATCAATAATAAATTTTGACTTCACTACCAACCATGTCAGTTTTGACAATAGGAAGTAAAGTGGAGTGACAAGTCTAACAATTTCAAGCAAAAATCATTGATACCAACTGAAACAGTACTTGTTGATCATGCTGTGTAAATTATTTATCAAATTTTTCCAATCTTTTATTTCCAGAGCACCCCTTTATGTCCAGATTAAAAAATAATACGGTAAAAGTTGCTGTTAATCAAATTAGACAATTTTGTGTCTCCATTACAATTTTTGAGTGGATCACTATACATTTTAATTTTCTCTCAGAATTAACCGATCCTCACGTTAAAGCTATATATTTAATTATCTTTTTTATTCGTTATTATGAGTGGTAGAAAACGAAAAAGTCCAGGCTAGATTTAACAATTTTTATAAAACACCTGGCAAAAAGTTAATAAAAAATACAATAAAAATAAAAATACAACGAGAGTTTTTGTAATTCACAGTAAAATACGATTTTATGAGTAATATAAAAATGTATTCAGCGGAAAATGAAGGTTATAAATTATTGCATAAAGTGGGTTTTTTCTTTTATCATTATTTGTACACATATTTATATTTCGAATGTTTATATTAGTACAAAATATTGTCAATATTGTTCATTATTGGTTCAAAAATCAAAATGCAGCCAACTTTATTAGAAATTATTTAATAATAATATATGTTTGTGATTATTTAGAATTGGTTCGAAGGACCAAAAGTGAACATTGCGACCGTTTTACTTGGGATTTATTCCAGAACTCTTACTACATAATTGTGTGTACCGGTACCGACTAAATGGGGTGGGTGGGACACACCCCCACCTCTCACAACCCCAGGTACCTGCTCAAGATGATTGGATATAGAATTTCCAACATGGCGGCCCCGTTGAAGGTTTAACTTCAAAACAATTGGAGGGGGGCATCTGAATAGTGATACATGCTATTATAAATTCATAAAAACATAAAAAGTATATATATAATAATCATCACAAGAATCTAATTCGCGAAGCACAGCCGGCAACACAAAAATCGTCATTCGCTAGGGATAATGCGCACCTTTGTCACCACGCGTTTCACCACTCCCGTAATAGTTTTTTTGGATACAACCCGCACAATTCCGTCGTGACCTGGGTGAACTTCGGCGACTCGTCCTAACCTCCACCGTAGCGGGGGCAGTCCATCCTCCACTAGAACTACCAAAGTTCCGACGTCACCCTTGGGACGGAATTGAAGTTGGGCCAAGTACTCCTTGGTCCATCTGCTCCGAAAATGTTGCTGCAATTGCTGTACGCGTTGCCATCGAGATAAACGATTTACAGGGATCTCCTTTAGGTCCCGTTCCACTGGCGTTGTTAACGGCTCGCCGATCAAAAAATGTCCCGGTGTCAGAGCTTCGAGGTCATTTGGATCTTGGGATAAAGGTGTCAGGGGACGGGAGTTTAGACAAGCTTCGATGCGGGTTAATAACGTATAAAACTCCTCGTAAGTTAACGATGCATTATCGATCACCCTGTGCAAGTGATGTTTCACGCTTCGTACGACACGCCCCCACAATCCCCCAAAATCAGCCAACCTACTGGGTATGAAATGACATTTCGTACCTACGGATGGGAAGTACTGCAATATTTTATTTTGAACCTTTCGCGGGATTTCGAAATTGGACAATTTCTGAAGGGTTTTAATAAATTTGATAAAAGTTTCGCGAATTTCAACTGGTATAGGTTCATCCGAATTCGATTTATGCGACCAAAGGTTTTGCAAGAGAATTTTTGCCTTAACGATAACTGGATTTATTAGACCAAGAGGGTCAAAGATTTTTGCGATCGTAGATAACATGTAGCGTTTTGTAACAGCTAGAGGACAGTTAATTGGCGGGAGATTTATTTGGTACTTAAGTAGGTCACCAACGCAACTCCAATAAAAACCTAAAACCTTTACATAATCTGTTTGTTCAAATACAGTACGATGGGGTAGGCAATAACTATTTGGGAATTCCAAAGTATTAAAAGGAACGAGCTCTGTGTAGTTTAAGCCGCGATATTCTAGCATAAACTTTTTGTCGCCGGATTTTAGTTTATGGTCCTTATCCGGTCTATTCTCTAAATTCAAGAATTGCTTTACAGCCCTTGGGCGTGACTCACCCAAGTGAAGGTCTTTAACAGGTAATTTTACCACGAATTGTTCTGACGACATCCTAGTTGTATTTTCTACGGAATGTTTTTCACATTCTAAGTGATTGGTCTTATATTCGTCCTGATGAAATACGTAATTAAAAATGGGTTTACAATTTACCAAGTTACACGATACGCTTGGAGCGGGAATGGTTGTAATTAATTCGCCCGACAAAATGTGACCTAGTTTTGTATTTTGTAAATATGGTAGATTTTTACCTAATAAAATAGGTCCGTCTAATAATAATTTCCAGAATAATTGGGCTCCAACTAACAAATCGACATTTTGGGAAATATTATAATTAGGATCTGCTAATGTTACATTTGGTGGCAAATTAATTATTTCTTTTGGAAATGTTACGCTAGGAATCGGCAGAGTAATTTTGGAAAGAACAACACAATCGAAATTTGTTGCAAATTCGCTGACGCGCGATTTTATAGTTACGTTCACATTTCCTTGTGTTCGATTATTGCAGGTACTGATACCAGAAATAAATTTGGTTCCAGTTGTTGGTGTGAGACCCAATTTATTACATAAACCCTTAGTGATTACATGTGCTTGGGAGCCGCCGTCCAAAAGCACTCTACATGTTTGAAAATCTCCTCTTTTATCTAAAATAAAAACTGTTGCGGTTGATAAAAGGACTTGGTTACAGGTTTGCCTTTGTAAAGTGTTAGCGGATGGTACAAATTCATTGCTATGTAGCAATGTGTGGTGTCTTTGATTACATTCCTTACATGAAAATGTTGATTTACAATCTTCAGTTTTGTGATTATTTCTTAGGCAGTTTGCACAAAGTTTTAAATTTTGAGATACAATGTTTCTGTCTAGAACGGATTTGCTTAGAAATTCATTGCATTGATAAAGAGCGTGTGAATTTTTGCACAAAAGGCAATTAAATTTGGAAACTACGTTAGAATTATTAAACCTTTTTTGAATAAAGTTTTGCGGTCTTATATTTAATTGTTTAGGACTAGAAATTATTGATTTGGACTTATTGGATGGTAAATTATTGGTTTTTAACTTATCCATCGCTTCCAATATTTCACACCTTTTTTCTAGAAATTCGGAAAATTGCAGGAAAGTAGGTACTGCCTTGTCTAGTGTTGACTGCCATTCCTTTTTAGAGCCATAATCTAATTTTTCGAATACAATTTCGACTAAAATTGCGTCCCACTGATCGACCGGTAAATTTAACACCTTTAAGGCCGCGACATTATTGGAAACTGTGTCGATAATTTCCCGTAATTCCTTGTGCGATGATTTTAACAAGCTGGGTATGTTTAAAATGTTTATGATATGTTCCTGAACAATTAATCTTCTATTTTCAAACCTTTTTTGAAGAGTTTCAATTGCCTTGCTGTAGTTTTCGTTGCGGACCGCCAATGATTCGATGGACCGCAACGCCTCATCTTTTAAACAACTACGCAAGTAGTGGAATTTGCGGATATTTGATATGTTCCCGTCATTGTGTACTAATGATTTAAATAGATCAAAAAACGAGAACCATTCGCTATGTTTGCCATCAAAGGTAGGCAGTGGTAAAGGTTTCAAAATTACGCTATGTTCATTGGCTTCGAGTTTATTACCATCATTATGTATGTTAATAGTTGTAGAGTTAGGGGTTAGCGACGGGTTCGACGTCGCCGGACTGTTCTTAATAATTATGCCTTTTATTTTACCTAAAGTTTTATAGTATTGGTTTTCAACCGAGGTACGTTCCTTATCATTTTCTGATTCCCAATACGATTCATTATGTTCCGCGTCTATTATCTGAAGTGACTCTATTTGATTTTGAATATTATTGTACTCCTTTAACCTTTCTGTCAAATCTAACAACCTTGCATCTAATTCCGGTACGCTATCGTCGTCTTTTACATTATTTTGTATACGCGTTATTGCAGCCTTTATTATTTTACGCTGATTTTTTAACTTCGTAAGTTCGGTCATTTCGGAAGAGTACGGACGCGCAACGACAAAGGTAAA